TAACGCCACTGATCGGTGATGCCACCAATGACCAAACTTTACAGTCAATTTTGTCTTCTGTGTGGGCCGATAAGTGCTCGTAATTTTAGTGGTTTGTGCAACCATATTTTGTCCACACCTTAGTTTTTTCTACTTGTGTTTTTGTCTGTTTGTTGATTGGTATGCCATGTGTGTCTGCTTATATTCGTTGTTTTGTGCTGTGACCAAAATTTCTTCTACAGGAACATGTGCGTGAAGTTCGCACTGGATCAGCACTACTCTCCGTTTGAGCCAATCACAGCTGCAGAGCAAAACACACACAATCATCTGCACCAAACCATCACAGGCAGAGGCTTGATAATCCATTGTTTCCCAACTTGTTTTGTTTTTTGTACTACCGTAGTCCCATCAGTAGGTCTTCATCAGTAGGTCTTCAAGCACCCCTTCATTGACACTACACTATAGACATGTGTCCTTTAATTCATATTATATTACATATTCTTTATAATTATTCAGAAAAGTATTTAAACATTTTGATATTAGAACAAAATTAGATCAAAATCAATGGCACAGACAGTTTCGTTTCTGAATTAATGAGTGTTTTTTTTTATGAATCGTTTAAATAACGAATCGTCAGTAAATGATTCAATGACTTACTCATAAAGAGTGGCTGCATTCAAAATTGTTTGAGACCCTGCTTAGAATTTAAGGAAGTTGAGAACAAACAATAGAGTAAAGAGTACTTTTCGACAAAGTTTCTGTATGCATGTACCCATGGTGGACAGTTGTCTGAGTAGCTATCCCTGTTTCAAAAGAGAAGTTTATTAATGTTGCAGGCCCATTAATATTGCTGTAAGTTGGGAAGTGTGAGGCCTCCCTTCGCCTTGGGAAGTTATAGTATTGATTTCTTAAGGCGAGCAGGTTTATTCCCCCATAGAAATGAGCGCAAAAGGCGTCAAAGCCATTCAAGAAAAATGTATTAATGAAAATCGGTATATGTGTAGACAGCGGTAAAGAAATTTAGGTAGAATAACAATTTTGACCAAGTTAATGCGACCTACAAGAGATAAAGTTAGAGAGGCCCACCAACACATATCCAGCTTGAATTTATCCACGAGTGGTTATTGTAAGAATTTTTAAAGGAGATCCCCAGATATTTGAAACTGTCAGAAGCAATCTTGAAGGGTAGAAGTTTTTCATCAACCCCACTCCGGACCAGAGCCAGAGAGAAAGACTGAGCGGACTATTGCCCTGGAGCCCATGCCCAATGTCTGACCAGGTGCATTGGACAACAACACCGTGTGTTTCAGTGGGCATGCTCGTGGAGTACGAGGGGATGGATGGAAGCCCCGCCCACACTCCCTGCGCTGAGGGTGAGCTAGACCTGGCCTCTGTAAATTAATATTATGAGGATTTGGAAGAGGACATTCCCTTTAATCTCCCATCGCCGCTGGTCCCACCCTGCTCCAAGTGTCCTGCGTCTCTGCTGGTCCTACCCAGCTCCAAGTCTCCTGCGTCTCCAGTGATCCCACCCAGCCTCCCTCTCCCACTTCCTCTACCAAATACTGCCAGTCCTTCGGCCCTGCCTCCACTGGTTCCCTTCAGTCCCTCTGCTCCCCCTCTGTTGACTCCACTCTGCTGCATGGATCTGCCTCACATATTCTGGTCTCCAGCTCCGCCTTGGCAAGGGGATCCCCTGGCTCCACCTCCAGCTGCCAGCCACCTCGGCTTGTCGACCAGTTGGCTCCACCGTGGCTCCTCCCTCCCTCGGCTCCACCTGGAGCCTTTGTCCTTATGGCTCCACCGTACTGCCGCGTCCCTCCAGCTTCGCCTTGGTCAGTCGCTCCACCTGTGCCAGGGACCTCTGGGCCTTCAGCTGCGCTTCGTCCCTCTACCCCTTTGGCTCCGTTGGGCTCTGCCATCCCTCCGGCTCCACCTTGGTCCTCAGTCCAATCAGCTCCGCCTCAGTATTCTGGCACCCTGGCTCCCCCTCGGACGCTTGTCTCCAGATCTATCTTTGTCGCCCGGTCTCCTCGTCTGCACCTGGGACTCCACCTCCAACCTTTCTCAGTCTGTGGGCCCCCTGTGTTCGTTTGTCAAGACTCGACCATGGCTTAACTCCCCTTGACTCTGCCGTGGGCCTTCGTCCTGGATTTTCATAGGTTCCCACCAGGCTTTCCTGCTTTCGTCTCCTCCCTAGCTCCTCCAACCATCATCACCGCCTTGGTCTCTTCCGCCATCATCTTCTCCTGTTTCCTGCCCTTCGCTAGCCTCTCGTCCACCTCCAAAGCCCCCACCCTCCCTCCTCATATGGACTTATTGTGTAGTTTTGGCATGAGGACGCTCTTCTTGGGATGTGGGTGTAATGTCAGGGTTATGTTTAGTGTCATTTGTGTTTTAGTTTGGTTATGTTCTGTTCCCGTTTACCTGTGTTTCTTTGGTTGTTAGTTTCTATGGTTGCATTCTGAGTTTCTCCATTAATTTATTATTAAATACTGTTTGTTTCTCTGAATCTCCTGCGTTGTGCGTGTTACTGCAGCCAAACGTTACACCAGTTTGCGATATTAAGCAGCATAACAGAACATAAAAGAGAATACACCATTAATTTTTTTTTCCCAAATTGAAAGTAAGACTGGTAAGACACACTTAACATTTAACAAAAATCTAAATCTTTTCAAGAATCCCAGGTTGGGATATGGCCAAATCTAAATCTCATATGATAATGTCATTTCTGAGCTGCTAGAGCTCAGATAAATAGTGGCAGCACAGTTGTATTTGCACAGAAATCCAGCTATACCTTGGAAATTTATGGAAGACTAATCTTAATGAATCCCTTAGACACCATTGCTTTATCAATGTGCCCAAGGTAAAACAGGCATCTGCAGAATAATTACCAGAAAGTTTTGTCCCACTGCCAGGGGTCCCATGATCAGATCCTCTCTGCCCAAAGTGGACGAATGCAATCAGTTTCCATCATGAATGCAACTTCCTCTTGATTGGAGTCTGAAAGATACAGTCCTGTACATCTGCCACTGGCACATCAAACAAACAACGACAGAGAGCTGGTAGAAAACAGACAGAGAGTAGAAGAGAGGTGATCCCTGTTTCCCTGACATCTCAAAGCACGGCTCTTAAACATGTGACTGCTGCCAACAGCAGAAAACAGTCCTGAAAACAATGTGGAAAGATTGATCCGCTCATATTGAGCGATCTGTCACACATACGATTAAGCAACTGAAAAGTCCCTGGCCTCCTGTTATTGTATATATACACAGTATAATTCATGAATATATCATTCATATTCATATTTAGACGACTGGTCCTCTGCTGCTGAAGGCTGGGTTTTGTGTGTCTGTTTGTGATGTAGTTGGCATTTTTATAATGAAACATCTGTGCTGAATTTTCAATTATTTATCCTGAAACACCTCCAAGAGTGAGGAGGGGTGAAAAAAGTGGAAAACTTCTGGTCACTACAGACAAAAACAGCAGTAACTAAAATGCTGTCATGTAGTTCAAGTAGCACTGTTTAAAATAGGCCTACCTGTTATAACATATGGTATAAATCTGTTATGAAACCCATAAAAGCACTTTTAATGCAGCCAAATATAGCTGTAGATTCGCTTTGTAGATTTTATTTGACAATAATCTTGACAAATGTGACCAAAATCATTGTATGTTTGACAACATATAATTTAAATCAGACAAGATAAAGGCTGCTTCAGTAATTTAGCAAGTAAGCATTAAGCTGATGAATTTAACCAGAACAACTAAATAAAATTTATGTTGTTTTTAACAGTGTGTCAGGACCATAACCACACAATATACAATATAAAAGTTTGGGGTCAGTAGATTTTTTTTAAAAGAAATTAATACTTTTATTCAGCAAGGATATGTAGATTGGTCCAAACTGACAAAGATTTTTACATTGTTGCTAAAACAATATTTCAAAGAAATGCTGATCTTTTTCACTTTATATTCTTCAAAGAATTATTTACAGCCAGCATACTATAATGTTTTCTTAAGGATCATGTTACACTGAAGACTGAAGTAATGGCTGTTGAAAAATAAACTTTGTCATCGTTGGAATTAATTAGCCTACATTTTAAAATTAAGATACAAAGCAGTTATTTTAAATTATAATACTATTTAACAATATTACTGTTTTTAAAAAAAACATTAAAACAAATCTTGACCCCTAACCTTTGAACGGTAGTGTAGACCAATATTAATACAATTCTTAAACTATTAAATTAGGTAAATACTCTACTGAGCTTGAACTTATACCCTGCGGTTTCAACATCTCATTCTTTTGCCAACTGACCGCAAAGACATTAGCAGTAAAACTGTCGAATTTAACAAACTCCAGCAGATTATAATCAATTGTTTGGTCACAATGATTTGTCAACTGTACATTTTTAAAGATGACTTACTGTTTGTTTGAACAATAATTAATTATTAATAGGAGACAGATTGCTGAGAATGACATGTTCAAAAGCCTTCTAGACCGTTGACCACAAACAAATCAAATAATTTCCTGGAAACAATTATTGTTATATTGTGAATCATCAAAAGCCTGGAACACTGTTACATATGCTATAAATAACATTATTTTGTAAATTGTTAACATGTTCATTTTATTAATGAATGAATTCCAATCAGTCTTCAAACATTTCTTCATGTTTTTCTCCTTTAAACATGAAACTCTCCCTGTGGTTAAATAGATTTAGTCAGAGAAATGGGTAACATATGGTATATATTTGGTATATATATATATATATATATATATATATATATATATATATATAGAGAGAGAGAGAGAGAGAGAGAGAGAGAGAGAGAGAGAGAGAGAGAGAGAGAGAGAGAGAGAGAGAGAGAGAGAGAGAGAGAGAGAGAGAGAGAGAGAGAGAGACGGAAAGATAATCTAAAGGTTTAACAATAACAGTCTGACATCATAGGGTCCCTCCCTCTTGTTAATAATCCAGCATAGATGGTGCAGTCGTACAATCACACACCCATTTCCAAACAGACAAAATCATACCACAGTTTCTCTCACAGAGAGTGTCCATTGACACCTGATCTGAGATCACTTCAAAAGACAAGGAGGAAACATATGATTCATGAAAGAACAACTGTAGAAGTTTAAAGATAATAGGTTTGAGTGGACTATATGAGCTCTGTATTGTGTTTTCTCTGAGGAAAAAAAGGACAACATGCAAGCCTTCCTCCTCCTCTTCCTCTGCGAGATCTTGCTGCTGAGACAGACCTCCGCAAGCACAATGAGAGGTACCAAAACAAAGCAATTCAACTTTCTAGACAAGTTCAATATACATATTCAGACAATAAACATATGAACAATATCAATATTCAATAATTATGAATCATTTGTTTATATAAAGTGTTACGGATTTATCTCTTTCTACCTGTAATGATGACTAGGGGAAAAAAATTGAAATGCTTAACCATGCAACTTTTAAAAATGAATTGCATGCAGAGGAAAAAAGACTGCATATGCCTAATGTAATGGAATATTATGAAGTCGTAAGTCTGGTATGCTGTGGATGCATGGTGCTGGTTAAAGGATGCAAGCTCAGCTGTTGTCAATATATCTGAATGTTTTTTATTTGTGTTTGGGATAATGCAATAATTTGCTGCAATTGTGACTGTTTTATACGAGTATATTTGAAAGAATTCATTGATAATGTTTTTGTTTAATCAGTAAATAATTTGTATTATATTAACAGTGAATATTTTGAAAGTCTATTTGAAGGTCATTTGAATGAATTTTTATTGGCGGTCAGTAATGGATTCTACTGAAATTGCAAAACAAATATTGTGTGTGTTTATATCTTTTTATTGGCAGCAAATACAAGGTCACATCAGGAGGCAGATTTTTTGTGTGTATCTGTTTCCTGTTAAAGCTTGAATCTGTGCAGTGTGGTTGTTTAAAAATATTTCATGAGTTCATGAAAGCATGGGCGTTGGTTGAATGTGGATTAATTTAGTTTACTTTTAGTTTCCTTTGTGCAATATCAAAAATTACTTGTACATTTACATTACATGTAAAAAGACCCTTGACTGTTGCAAGTTGTGCAGACAGACATAAAGCATAATATAATAAAAAAAGTAAAGCCATTAAGCATTGACCTGCTCATCATATGGGAGTGTCTTATTGTAAAGCTGCGGTCATACTAGACTATGAGCATGCAAAATTTCTACAGGCACTGCAACGGTTGCAAAATGATGTCAGGTTCTGCAGCATCGTTTTTTAAAACATAATTCAACCGTATAATACATAACAAATGTGCAATACTTTACAGCAACACTGCAGATTTAAAGTTTGCATTCTTTTAATTCAGTTAAAAGGTCACTCTGCGGCGTATCAATATTCCATTGGTCTCTCATCTTCTCATGATATGACTTTGAACTTGAATTTTGGAACCCAACGGAATGAGAAACTTCTTTGCTTGTACTTGTGTTTCCTGTTCCCCGCATTCGTATGTGTATGAATGGAAGCCAATGGAACGAAAAGTGTAGTGTGACCGCCCCTTAATACACCTCAACATTGACTAATTATCCCGAGGCCACCCATCTGTTTATAAGGTCACTGAGGTTCGCTAAACCAAAAAAGTACTAATTGCTATGGAAATCCCTGTCTGTCAATTCATTGTTGTCGTGCATACTCCAAAGGATTTTTTTCTTTTGGCGACGTTGCTTCTTCATAGCTCAGGAAACTTAAAGGGGACCTGTTATGCAAAATTCACTTTTACATGGTAAAAATCCACCCACTCCTCTTTTTTTAATCATCATAAATCATATGCAGTGTCTCAGAATAAGCCATTTGCAGTTTCCATGCAATGTGACGTCACACATTGCACACGCCCCGCCCACGACTGCTGACAGACTCTGCCCTATTAGCATAGACTCCGCCCTGAGTGAGCTGTACACACTCCACCATGTTTATCCCCTCGCCAGAGCATTTAACAGCAGCTTTCAATTAAGAAATGTATTCTTATTAAAGCTACTAAAGTTATTCAGTCAAGAGCAGTGAGTGACTTTCCCTGCTGTTTAAGTTCACAGACATAACTTACTGTGTTTGTGAACTTTGTTTGTTTTTGAAATAACCTTGTGTGTATTTGACAGTTTAAAGGGATACTCCACTTTTTTTGGAAATAGGCTTATTTTACAACTCCCCTAGAGGTAAACTGTTGAGTTTTACCGTTTTTGAATCCATTCAGCCGATCTCCGGTTCTGGCGGTACCACTTTTAGCATAGCTTAGCATACATCATTGAAGTGGACAAGACCATTAGCATTTCTCAAAAAAACCATGAGTGCAGCAGGCGTAATGATATGACGCAGCCCCTGAAAATAGTCCCCAGCTCGGTAACTTCCAACGTGACCGGGACTAAGTGCCTGCGCCTGCTGCACTCATGGTACGGCAGTAAAGTTTCTTGATTACTACGCAGGAATGAGAGTATAGTTCCTAGCCATATCAGCCTAGAAAATCGCAATTTTACATTTTCCGTCGGTCTTAGTGCACGATGTAACTACAGAAGAGTCAAGTTTTAAATAGGAAAAACATCGAAACTCTTTGGTCATTTTTTTTTTAGAAATGCTAATGGTCTTGTCCACTTCAATGATCTATGCTAAGCTATGCTAAAAGTGGTACCGCCAGAACCGGAGATCGGCTGAATGGATTCAAAAACGGTAAAACTCAACAGTTTACCTCTGGGGGAGTTGTAAAATAAGCCTATTTCCAAAAAAAGTGGAGTATCCCTTTAAGCGCAATAAGACGTGAAATAGAACTTAGTTAAATACTCATGGGACATGCTGTCTGATTTCCAACTCTCTTTGTGTGTGCTTCAGATGTGTGCATTCAGAAAAACCATACAGAAGTTGACGGTATAAAATTTTCATGTTGCAATAATTGCTGAAGCTTTTATCACAGTATGCAGTATTATCACGATATTGAAATCAGTTGCAAAAAAAAGTGATGTAACAGGTTTAAAAACTTTTTATTGTATCTAAAAGAACTGAACATTTAAATACAATAAAGCAGTACACAGTTCATGTTAGTTCAGGTGCTCAAAGTATAAATGGTGCACATGGAACAAGGCTTTAAATAGGGCTGTGCTCGAAATATCAATACAGCAATATATCGTGACGTATTCCTGCTGATACGCGTTGGTAGGCCTATGCGGATGCTTCTTGCAATCACACAAAATCACCCTGCTTAACAGAGATATACAAATGAACAATGGACATTTCTGGCTTTAAATGAACTTAGCAGAGTAAAGGTCTTTAGAAGTATTCAAGTATAAAGGAGACCATAGCAGAAATAATTAGCATTTGCTCCAATGGTGAAAGAAAAAATCCACTACTGCCTTTCTGTGACTTTCCAATAGATGAAAAAAATATATAGCCTAGAGAGAGAGATCATGGCAGACAGAGAGAAAGATGTTAAATGTACCATCACTCCCTCTGCGTTAGAAACACCCTCGCAGTAGTGCCTACTTTTTTGGGGGTAATTTAATGCCAGGGTACTGTAAAACAATGTATAGTTTCATGTGAAAGGTCATCATGTGGGTCATTTTATTTACGGCTAAATTATTATTCATTAATTTTACTAATAGTTAGATGGTAAATGGTAAATGGTAATAGTTAGATTGGGCAGGCCTTCACAAAAGGGCCTTTAATTAAAGAAAGAGGACATTTGCGCATCAAGGGTGCACGTGCAGTGCCTGTGTTAGTTAATGCATTAACACATTAACAATGAGCAATAGCTACATTTGTTACAGAAGTTTATTCTTTGTTAAAGTTAGTTAAAATATACAACTGTTTGTTCATGTTAGCTCAGATCCATTAAATAATAGCCTACAGTTACAACTTTTGATTTTAATAAAGTGTTATTAAATGTTTAAATTAAATTAACTAAGATTAATAAATGCTTTAGAAGTATTTTTCATTGTCAGTTTGTTAACTAACGAATTAACTAATGTTAAATAATGGAGCCTTATTGTAATGTTGTAGCCTAGTAAAATATAAAAATGTTTAAGTTTGAAAGTAAATATCCTTAAATCTTAAATATTTACGAGGGTTACCGGGGTAACCGCTGCATTTTTGCTGTTCCATCAGCGCAATCTCCTGTCAGAGAGTGAATGTGCATTTTCATTCAGTGCGTCTCGTCTTCTCGTGAGTGTTTAGCCTACATCAGTGCATAAAACAGCCATGTTGAGCATTATAAACGGTTGATGGGTAAAGTATTTTTAAAATGCACTCTATCTGAATGATTCGTAATAAATAAATATTGGCGACATTTTGAAGTGCCCACGATAACAATATCGTGCATGTTCATAATCGGCATAGTAATTGGCGAATACCGGCACATGTCGGCTATTAAGCATATACGCATGCAGATAATACTTTCATGATGATGAAGAACTGCAATGCATGTCACGTGAGCGTGATCGCGATAGAGATAATCATCAAACCCAAACAGATTTTAGTTTTTGTAAAAGTATCCATGAGTTGTACACAGGAGAGCAGCAACTCATTCGCATTAAAGATACATGCACAAAAACATTATGTTTTTCCTTCAAAAATGAAGACAAATGAAGATATTTTTTAATAAAATCTGAGCCACTTCTGTACTCTCCATTGACAGCTACGCAACTACCACTTTGGCGCTTCAAAAAGTCTAAAGAGATCGTAAAACTAATTAGGGCTGCAACAAACGATTATTTTGATAATCGATTAATCTAACGATTATTAGAACGATTAATCGACTAATCGTCGATTATTTCGCAGACTAATCAGTAAGTTTGGAACGATTATTCAGCTTTTCCAATTAGTTAAAACATTGAGTTATACATATTCTAACTATAATATAAAAAAAGAAAATCACTTCAGCTTTTGAAATAGTTGTTTTAATGAACTTTGAGCCAACTAAACAGGTCATTCTCTTTAAGTTTTCAGATTTCGGTCCAACTCAAATCACACACAAATGCTCTCTAAGCATTGTTTAATAGGCCCACTGCTTTTCTTAGAACTGAAACAGAAAAAGGGACATTTACTTCAGGACACAAAGAATGGTAAAATATTAATCTGCAAACAATTATTATAATTATAAAATTACAATCTTTTTTTACATGACAGTTGAGCTGACAGAGACGTTCTCATTCCCTTTTAATTTATAGTATGATAAAGTGACTGCCGTGATATTCTTCCTATATCATAGGAAGGATATAACATCTCGTTTTGTAAGTCTTCATGATTATTGAACAAAATACAGGCAAGTGATAAGACTATAATAATACCTAATATACTAATAGTGTTACAATAATAAAAACAGCCCTGACTCCTAAGCTCGATCAAGCTTTACTCTATACAAAATAAGTCATCACATTACTGTAATTATATTACTATTGATAATATTATTACTATTATTAGTAGTATTGCATTCTCTAATAAAGAGAGATTTGCCGCTGGTGGTTAGTTAGCTCCAGCTGGAGAACACTCACTTCTCACCGGCTCCTCTTTTGCCGGGATGTTTCCTCTTGCACCCCAACATTGCACACGACAGCATTCTTGATTTGAAGTTTTGTGAAACTTTCCCAAACCTAAACCTTGCTAGTTCGGATTCGTTTGCACTGTCATAATTCGCGCTGTTTTCTCTTCTACCGCAATAGCATTTGTAAGGGCTGCACTACACTCTAGCGCTACAGCGCCGTAGCGTTCAAATCGCGGGATTGCAGGCCCTTACATTAGGTCACGTGAGATCAAACGACTACTCGACAACAAAGATATTTGTCGACAAATTTTTATTGTCGACGTTGTCGACAACGTCGACTAATCGTTGCAGCCCTAAAACTAATCCATTTGAGCCATTTTGTCCAAATTTTCTGAAGAGACACGAATGATGACATTGATCAGCGAACATAAATAGAAGCTCAACCGAACCTGCTTGACGCTTGAGAACAAACTTCTTGCAGAAGCTCAAACGTGCTGCATAACACGAGAATGAACCATTGGCTCTTGCATGTCAAGCGAACATGCTTGAGCTTCCATTTACCATTTAACTGATGAATGTTTATATGTGAATAAAAGCCTAAATTAAATCTGTTCAGTGTATAAAGCGATCGTGTCTCTTCATAAAATTTGGAATAAACCACTCAATTCATATAGCCTGGCTAACGTCAGACCCATAGACTGTGGTCTGACCACGTCTCATTGACAATTGACATCAGGGGCGTAGAATTTAGTAGGGACGCTAGGGACGTGTCCCTACCAATATCCAGTGACAGGGCTGCCAACTTTTGAGTTCAGCTTAGAGTGAGATTTTGGGGGGCGGGGCTTGGGTTATGGGGGAGGGGCTTATTCAGGGGCGTGGCTTGGTGTGGGGAAAAATACAAACACAAAATCCTTGCATTAGCAGAAGTGTAATAAGTATATATTGATTGTCAAAGTATTTGGTATCTGTACAGAATTTCTTGGGAGATTTACATTACATTTAATTTTACATTTAACATTTTAATTGACATTCTGTTCTTAGAAAACAATAATTAACATTAACTACTAGGCATGTCCAGATATTTGTCATCTGGAAATGCTTTTGTACTGTTTTTATGATAAAGTTATGTAAAATAACTGCTCAGTGCTGCAAAACAAACAACTCTGCTTTTGCTAACTTAATTCTATATAACAGGCCTATTAGTTACCAGCCTAAACTGGATGGAGACAAGGAGCGCCCTGTAACTCACTGACCTGCCTGCGTTCACAATTCACACAGTGCAGATGGGAGGGAGAACGGCTGACTACACAGTTTATGGGAATAAATTGTGTATTTCTCTCACAATTGTCACAAAAAACTCACACTGTCTGTCTGGTCTCCAGAGCCGGTCCGAGCCTTTTGGGGGCCCTAAGCAGAATTTGATTTGGGGGCCCCTCCCACTACGCGAAGTCCCCTGTGCTTGACGATTATTGACACAAATGTCACGCAATAATGATACATTATGAATGAATACAGTAAGGTTATGTATTAATACAAAATAGGAAAAAAAAATAGATGCCTACTTAAATAAAAAAAATTTAACTTTTACTTTACTCTTTTACTAACTCTTTAAAACTTCTTCAAACAAACTGTCTCAAAACATATAAAATAAATTATTTGCTAAAATAATGACAAAACTGAGAAATCAGAAATATAATAAGAGCAAGGGTTCAACAATACCAATTATGGTTGAAAACTGTAAAAATATTATTATTTCTCAACTGTACCAATACAGTGTAACTGTCCACTGGGTTGTGTTGCGAAAGACACGCAAGCTCGCTTACCTATCTGCCGTCGTGTGCGCGTGCGCGGTTAGGAGCGCGCCGTTAGGAGCTCAACACATCTGTCTCGCATGCACGCTCGCTCGCTATAGATTACAGGATATTTTAACTAATTTGCGGTAAAACTAGTCGATCACAAATGGCTCAACTGGTAGATCTATAGATAAACTTATCTTTCAGGCATTTGACCGACTGGGTTGACACTTCAGCGTGAGAAATCGGGGGTGTGGCGTGAGAGCGTGAGAATTGGCTCAATTGCGTGAGTCTCACGGTGAATGCGTGAGAGTTGGCAGCCCTGCAGTGACAATGATATATCCCTAGCAATAATTTCGATCAAACTTAAAATATATTTATAAATTGATGTCCCCGTCCCCACCAATTTCAAAATCAAACCTACGCCACTGATTGACATTGAGACGTGGTCTGGGAACCACATATTCATTTTCTCGTATTTGAGGCGTGGTTTATGAATGCCCAGAGTCGTTTATTGGGTGCTACGAATGTCTATCAAATGCGCCTGTACGTAGCTCATATCGTTTCAATTATATTATACCCGATGGGTCAGAGATTTATTTGCGTTCTAAACTACTTAGAACAATATCTAAGGCTGCATCGAAAGGTAACTTCGCGTCTGCTGCCATGTTTGATCCATAGGTATAAACAAACTGCTTCGGTGTGTCGCATAGACGTCTTTATCGTCTTGTTGCTCCCTCCCCGTTCTGTGATTGGTCCCCTGGCTGAGGCGAAAATTTGGTCCATGGCAGGTCCATGGTATCCAGACTGCCTAGCAGCGTGAATAAAATCGCGCTGCGCAAAGGCAGTATGGGGAAACCCTGGCTACAATTCATATGGATTAGTTTTACAATCTTGAAGTGTTAAGTGGTAGTTGCTTAGCTGTCAATGGAGGGACAAAAATCGCTCAGATTTTATTAAATAGATCTTCATTTGTTTTCCGAAGATGAACGAAAGTCTATTGGGTTTGGAATGACATGAGTGAGTAATTAATGACCCACCATTTTTGAGTGTACTACCCCTTTTAGCAGCACAAGTGTTTTTAACATTGATATAAGAAATGTTACTTGACACCACATCAGCATATTAGAATGATTTCTGAAGGAGCATGTGACACTAAAGACTGGACTAATGGTTGCTGGAAAGTTCAGCTTTATTTCTTTTTTAAGTAAATTTCTTATATAAAGTATAAACTACATTTTAAAACGTATAAAAATAGAACATTTCAAATGGTAATAATATTTCACAATATTACTGTTTTTTCTTCTTCAAAGAAATGCACCCTTGGTAAGACCTTTGAAAGACATGAAAACATTATGATCAACTCCAAACTTTTGAATGGCAGTGTAGCTCGGATAATTTGGTTTTGGAAGAATTTGATGAGAAATGTTGAAGCTCATGATGAAATCTCAGACTTTTGATAGCACCTGTTTTTTTATTTGGGGTCTTGGCAAATCTATGACAATGCTGTGATCTCTTCTGAAACTAAAGGAGAAATATGTGAGAAGCAGGAGAAGTCTTAATTTGTTTTCCATTTATTCTCACTGCCGTCTAGGAGAAATCATTCTTCAGTTTCATATTCTATGGATGACTATGTTTAACAGTAAACAAACACACATGCAACAAGTGTTTTCTCATGTTACACACACATGGTTTCTGACATTTCTCTGAAACACAGCAGTTTATCTGCTGATTCTTCTGGGAGTGATACAGAAACCAGCTCTGATGTAATAAATGGGTTGTTTGTGTGATCTGAAGCTCTGTGCTCAATGCCAGGGGTTTCCCTCAGCAGTAACCACTTTCTCTGGCATAGGACACTGTTTCATCATTCATTCTTCAGAAACACACCACACATTTATGAGAAACAAACCACAGGGGTCCTGCACTGGGATTCTTATACGTGTTTGTGTTTTGTTGTCATAGTTCGCAAAACTAGGTAATTTTAATGGCAGAACATGATGTTTGTGTGGGAGACATCGCTGCCGGCAAGCGCATGGACGCATGACTAAAACACTTTCAGTTACACTGTAGAAGCGTAGCTTTTGGAAAGAGGAAAATCTGACAACACTGGACTGATTGTTATTACAAATCTCTTGGCAGAAACGTTGTAGATACAGTCACATGACTTCTAATATCCCTAGCTGAAGTCATTATGTAAGGAACTGAACTGAATCTGACATCACTTTTCCTGTGTATTTGAATCCTAGTGCAAAGACACAACATGAGGGTGCGTATCAGCGCTGTTGGAGACACCATTGTATTCCAGTTCAATCGGCCCCATGTGGACAGCAGACTGGAGGGATATATCCTGGGCTATGGCAGTAGCATGCTCTCCAAACAATTAATTCATCTGCCCGAGGATGGACAACCCTTTGAGACTGAGATAGGTACCGTCTTTCTCTTTAGCCCTCTTTCATAGAGTTTGTTGTTTATTTAACTGATTCTCCTCTATTTTCTAGATGCTGAGCCCAAATATCTGATTGCGGTACAATCAAAGAAACCTGAGGAACCTAGGAAACAATGCACAGGTAAGATCAACCGATACATCGCCAAAGCCGATCCTTGATTTTAAAATATGCTGTGCTATGTTGCCAACTATGTCATATTCATGCCATTTTCACTGTGTGCTGTATGTAAAATTAGTGTTACCTTGTCTTTATTGTAAAAAACATGATTACCAGTGCGCACAAATTTACCAGATTACTGAGTGCAATTACAGTGTTTACATCCTTTTTATTCATATATTTTTAAACAATTACTTTATTTGTGAAAAAATACTGATAGGATTGCAGAATCAATTGCCATCCAAAAATAGAACCATGTTTATTTTAAAGATTTTTTTTTACATTTATTTTCATATTTATTTCTAATTTATTAAATATTAATTCAAATAAATATAAATTATATATATTTTATGTCGGCATCGGCCATCAAAAAACCAATCGGTCGACCACTACACGGTACCACAAATGAAATTTGAGAACAATTTACAAACAACATCTGCGCATTCAGTGGCCCCAAAAACTATTTGTACAAGATTGTACAATTTGTAAAAAGAATGTCATCATTGCATTAGATTTGCTTTTATACAACAGTTCGAGAAGTCAATATTAATATTACGAGGTCAAAGCTGTTTTGTCTTTATCCTGAATGAATCAGGCATTTGAAGAATTGATATAGTAAATGACATAACTGCGTCCCAATTTCCCTACTTATACTGTGACACTTTATAATAAGTGTACAGTAATAAAGTACTTATAAATCATTTGAAAACTAGGCTATTCATTTATAGTTAATTCATAGTTAATGTATTGTAGTCTCTACATTGTTAGTATATTAATAGGCTGTATACAAATAATGAGTTCTTCATTCATTGTCACTGTAATTAACTAAATTATTATTGTTTTAAGCAGATGTTGATGCAGGAACATGTTGCACATGGTGAAATTACATTCACCATTGGAATAAGAACTTACTTCGCAACCATTAAAAAACTACATTAAGTGTGACTTAAGTGTCCATATGTTTTGGCCATTAGTATGCAATAAATTTGAGCTGATTACTGACTTGTGACCTCCAGGGAAAGTGGATCTAGAAAAACCATTAAACGTTGTGATCGGCTCGGTGACACAGTCGTCGGTGCTGCTGTCCTGGGGGACACTACTAACCACCTCAATCATGGATTCCGTTCTGGAGGACTGTATTGATGAAGGGTATGTGTCCTAACGCGTCTATGTGTGTATGTCCATGAACCGTGTGGGTGTTATCTGGATTTAATCAGATTTAATGTTGTTGACCGTCTCTCAAGATGTGCAATTATTTTACTGACAGAAGACACAGAGCAGGTATAGGACGATGTGTGCAGATGCCTATGTGGTGGCAAAAAAAAGAAAAAGAATACAAATGCACACATTTAATTTTTCTATCATGGTGGAGACATTCCATCTTTTGTATTTGTACTAAACTAATGATGTTTTCTATCTCCAGTTTGTGTGTTTATTAAAGGGATAGTTCACTTTGAAATTAATTTTTGGTATGTTTTAGCTTACCTCAAGGGCATCCAAGATGTAGGTGTCTTTGTTTCCGCAGTAGTTTCAATTTTGATATTTTTAATTAGGTCAAACCGTTCTTGTCTGTCAGTCATATATTGCAGGTCTATGGTCACCACCTCAAAGAGCATGCACAGAGAAGTCCAAATTAAACATGATTTAAAGGCACACTATGCAAGAATTGTACCTTAATATAACAGCTTCAAAGTCATTTCGGTGGTAAACAAACTCATAGTAGGGCGAATCATCCTGGTAGTAAAGCTTGGGGGGGACGCCGCTGGAAAAACCAGCAATGCAAGTTTGAGAGGAGCGCCCCCAACAAATCTCGCGAGAATGACGACATGATTTACGGCAACGATGTCACACACATCAACAACAACATTTGAAGCATGAAGACACTTGCACGCATTTCAGACGTGTGATACTCGATGATGGAAAAAGCAAAGAAAACGCGGTCGGAAGAGACTAGGAAAAGGAAAAGAGAATCTGACCGCGTGAGGAACCGGACAAGAGTCCCACTCGGTCGGGCTTTCACTCGTTGGCGCGAGCTAAAAAGCAGCACTGGATGCAACAGTGATGCTGACCTGGCGATCTTGTTGATGGACTAGTAAGTAAATCTTTCTAAGTTTGTGTGCATTTTATTTTGTGATTTCACCGGAATGAATAGAGAGTCTCCGCAACGGCGATAGATTGAAGAGCACGACCGAGTGAAGACTGCGCGCGCGCCGCCATGAGAGACACTATGTATCCATGACACTGATAGCAGCGGACACGAGCGCTCAGGTTGAGTTCAAAAACACATTTTAGCGCTAGATCTCTTATTTAAAGGCACACTATGCAAGATTTGTACCTTAATATAACAGCTTCAATGGGGTATCAAAGGGGTATCAGGCCGTGAGTGCAGAGACCAGTCTATGGCAGACGCTCTGCGTGAGTGGCATTTACGACAGTAACGTTAAATACAAGTACTCCACAGCGACTCTAGGGGTCGCTGTTTGACAAAAACGGAATTCCTGCATAGTGTGCCTTTAATGACTCGTAATTGTAAGTACACATTTAATGGCCTAAGACACAAAACGAGCGGTTTGTGTGAGAAACCGAACAGTATTTATATCGTTTTTACCTCTTGTAACCACAGCCACGTCCAAGTGATCTGAGGGTGCGGGCGCTTCGGTCTGCGCAAGCGCTGGAAAGCGCCAGAAATGATCTCTCGCGCGTGCAGTCACTCATTGTTTACACAGAGATTTCGGAAGTGTTACCTTTCACTGTGAAGATCTAAACATATTTAGATATACAGGAAATCGCAATGGAAGACGATTTCGATATATCAACAGACAACGTTGAATTTTTTTTTTTTTTTGGAAGAGATCACTTCCGGCGCTTTCCGGCACTTGCGCAGACCGAAGCGCCCGCGCCCTTAGATCACTTGGACGTGGCTGTGGTTACAAGAGGTAAAAACGATATAAATACTGTTCTCACACAAACCGCTCGTTTTGTGTCTTAGGCCATCAATGTGTACTTACATTTACGAGTCATTAAATCATGTTTAATTTGGACTTCTCTGTGCATGCTCTTTGAGGTGGTGACCATAGACCTGCATTATATGACTGACAGACAGGAACGGTTTGACCTAAAAATATCAAAATTAATTTCAAAGTGAACTATCCCTTTAAGTCATTTTGCTCATAGATACTGTTGGCTAATCGCTGCAATGCAGCTGACTTCAGTTTTACTGTCCTTGTAAGGACATATGGTCTGCACAATGTAGGCAAAACCTGACCCACACACTCTCCTTCCTTGGACAAGTTAGTGGAAAGCTTGACCTCAGCCCGGCCTCTACAAAACAACCAATTTGTTAAAAATAACTGGGGGTAAAAGGGGCATACATTTATAAAATCTGGGTTTTGCCAATTAGTGCCATATCAAAATTATTGCCATATCAATTTGTTTCATCATTTGACTGTTAATACTGCCATTTTAAATTAAGTTATTTTCTAGAGTCTGGTTTTCTTTTTTTGTCTCCTCTCAGACAGTTCACAGTGCGCTACAGAGAGAAAGAACCCAGCAATACCTGGAACTACCAGACCTGTCCATCCACCAGCACAGTCATCGACAACCTCAAACCAGATGCTCTGTATGAGTTTGCGGTCCGACCAGACACTGACAAAAACAGTGGAGCCTGGAGCCCACCAGTCATCCATAACACAGCTGGTGTGTCCCACTACAGATCATCATCGATTTGGTCTCACTCTATATGGCTGTAAAAAAAAAACTCTTTACAATATTCAAAATTCAAAATTCAAATCAAAATTGGGACAACTCCAATATCTCAGTTGTTTCCCCTAGATAGCATTATATTAAATGGAGAGGCATGGAGACTTTTGCTTGAAGGGATAGTTCACCCAAAAAAGAAAATTTAGTCATTACTCACCCTCATGTCGTTCCAAACCCGTAAGACTTTCGTTCATCTTCAGAACACAAATGAAGATCTTTTTGATGAAATCTGAGCCAGTTCTGTACTCTCCATTGACAGCTACGCAACTACCACTTTGATGCTTCAAAAAGTTCATAAAGAGATTGTAAAAATAATCCATATAAATTGAGCGGTTTAGTCCAAATTTGGAGGGATCAAAAGAAAGCTCTCAGATTTCATCAAAAAGATATTTATTTGTGCTCCGAAGTTGAACGAAGGTCTTACTGCTTTGGAACGACATGAGGGTGAGTAATTAATGACAGAATTTTTGGGTGAACTATCCCTTTAAGTCTTTTCTTCTGTAGACTGAATTTCTTCAGTATTTTTCTTCTGAGAAAAAGACGTTAGGAATCTCATGTGTTTCTCATGTGTCTCATGTGAGTCATAGATTTTAATATGATATATTTCTCATCAGATTCTGAGCTGTGCTATCTACAACTACTTCTACTATCTACATTAATTTTATAGTTATAGACCCTTATTGAGTCAACAATATCTGACACAAAACTGATACTTAAATGAAATGTATTGTAACTGAGAAGTAACTGTATTTTTTTCCTAAAAAAATACAGATCAAATAATAGAGCCATTTAATGAACTGAACCAGGCGAAGGTTAAAGTAAGTATATAGCTGTGCTGTAGAGACAAACCTTTTATTCTCCTTTTCTCTCTCTTTTGTTAACCTTGGATGTTTCTTTTTAAACAGAAGCCAGTCTTAGCAGGCCAACCATCATTCTTGCCTCCTGTGCCAGGTTAAAGACTTCTTTTTCCATCCTAAACACAGTCACTGATATATGAATAATGAATAAATACGTAATGAATTTTCCTGCCACTTTCTAGTCTCAAACAACATTACCCAGACAAGAGCAGCTCCTCTCCTCAAACACACTTGCCTTCCAAAGCCATGGAAAACTACAGGTAAATGACACTCTCTCACCTTTGAAGCCAAGCATAATATTACATTAGCAGAATGGAATACTGGCATAATTCACACACCATACTGCACAGTATTTACTGCATACTGCCTACTATTTCGTATTGCTTGTAATCAGTATGCAACAATTGAAAAGGTTGTATGATGCCTTGTTGCCACATTACCTCACTACGTAACATGTATATAGACCTCCAGTTATCATCTTGGAAATAAATGGGACCATTGTGCATTCTTACCTAATTTTGTGTTAATATGTCTAAAATTTGGCAAAAAATGTGTCAAAAGGGAGATATACACGTGACAGTATACATATAAATTGCTCCACATTGTCTCTTGCTGTTTAAACTCTTTTAACTATTTTTTGTCATATGTTTTCAAAACTGTCTTCTCCAATGTCTTGTTTTCAATAGCTACATTATTTCCTCTATGATAAGTAATTATTTATATAACTATCCTCTTCTTGCATGTGAAAAAGTGAACAATGAATTGTTTTTACAACTACACACCTGGTTATCTTCATAAAACAACATTAGGCCTATAACTAAAATGACAAACATTTTTTTCTCACTGCTTTTCCAGCTTTAAATGTTTAGAAAACTTTAAACACTAAACAAATCAAGTACACCTGCGTTAACTCATATTAATTATCCATCTATGTAAAAAAAAAAAAAAAAAAAAAAACTACACCAAATTCCTCTGTTTTATGTCTGTGACCTGAATTGTTTTTTATTTGGACCTCTTGGACTTCACATGTAGTGTCCCCTGTCACAGTTTTCAAGATAAATTCCAAATAAATGTCCTTCACGTTTATCAAAACTTGTGTGTGCCATATTAGACTTTCCTGAGAGAGCGACAAATTGAAGGAAATGTTTTTTAGCATTGTATTGCCCTTATTTTTGGTAGCTGACTTGGCATTGGGCAGTTAAAAAAAACATGCATTTATGAAAACGAAATTCAACTAATGACTATAATTACTTTTCTTCTATACAAATTAATTCAAATTAAAACATAAAAATGTCCTTTTAACTTCTGTGATAGGAGATCTACATATCTCATTATCAACAAATGGACATCAGTGCCTTCTTATTTCTGTTTTTGTACTTGAACTGTACCATTTTCTTTGCATGTTTGTCATACATATTGTGTCTGTTTCTCCAGTTTCGTTAATAGGGGTGGAAAATCCCACAACAGCTCCTGATGATCAACCTGCCTTGAATGAGGCCCTTAGTTCCACTGACACACCTATCTTCCTGGCCACGCCAAAAACCACAAGCACAGTTCGAACTCAAAACCCCACTAGTCACCCTAGCACTACCCAAACAGATCCTCACACAGAGCAACATACTAGTTTAACCCCACATCAACCTACGACAACTCAGCCAGAACCTTCCACAACCAAACTACAAACCAGCACAACCCAACCACCACCCACTACAACCAAAAAATATACCATCAAAACACAGATCTCAGTTAAAGTTCAACCATATACAGCCAAACAGCTACTGAATACACCCCAACAACAGTTTAGTGAAAAAACACCTAGTTCATCTACAACCAAACCACCACTTCACCAAACCCAACAACACACCACAAGCACTGTCCAGGAACATCCCTACCCATCTAAGAAACAAGACACCATAACTCAAGAGAGTCTCCATACAAGGAAAATTCGGCCCAGTACCAAGCTGCATCGGTTGAGCACAACCCAACGTTCACAAGGCACGTCCAAACACAGAACCACTCACACTTTCTCAAAATTCACTTCCTATTACCAGTCCAGCACAATCACACATTCTGAACAGCCAAACAACAAACCAACAACAAAACCGAATTGGTCCACAAATGTCCATTCTCCAACAAACACAGCTTTGAATTTACCCACAACATTAGCAAACATTCAGAATGGATTAGTGTCACGGCAGACTACCGATTTCATCAGGCAACCAGTATTTAGCACTAATCCATCTATCCCTGAAGAATATTCTGCATCCCATATTACCACAACTGAAGATTTGCCTCTTAAATTTAGCACTAATCCATCTATCCCTGAAGAATATTCTGTATCCCAAATTACCACAACTGAAGATTTGCCTCTTAAATTTAGCACTTATCCATCTATACCTGAAGAATATTCTGCATCTCAAATTACCACAACTGAAGATTTGCCTCTTAAATTTAGCACTAATCCATCTATCCCTGAAGAATATTCTGTATCCCAAATTACCACAACTGAAGATTTGCCTCTTAAATTTAGCACTAATCCATCTATCCCTGAAGAATATTCTGCATCCCAAATTACCACAACTGAAGATTTGCCTCTTACCAAAAACGTACAGGAACTGACTTCACACCCTATATATCCACTCACTTTTTGGCACCAGCCCCAACTCACCACCACAACACAACATTCCACAACTACAAAACAGCAAGCTAGCACTGCCAAATACAACCCCAAAACATATTCCCAGGTTGAAAACCAACCACCTAACCCTGAAGAACAGTTGTCAGGTACCCAAAAAAACCCACTAAACCTGACACCTAAAACTGCTTTCATCAAATCCGATGCTATTCAAAACTCACCCGTGGCGGAGAAGGTAACAGTGAGGATGAGTCAACCAGGTCCACCAGAGGGTAACTTCTCCCCTAGACATATAGTATAGAAAAATATTAGTTCTAGTAAATTGAATTGTAGCAATCTGGCAAACTAAAATGTATCGTTTAAGACAGGGGGGTCCAATCCTGCACCTGGAGGGCCACTATCCTCCTATCCTAAATAAAGTAAACGCATCTGAATCAACTAATTAAGGTCCTCAGGATTACTAGAAACTTCCAGGCAAGTGTGTTGGGGCAAGTTGGAGCAAAATTTCGAAGGACATTGTCCTTCCAGGAGCAGGATTGGACACCCCTTGTTTAAAAAGTTCTTTGATGTTTTTCATTCATTATTATGCCTTTTTTTTTTTTGGTGCCAGAAATTCCTTTAACAGCATGGATAACCTAGACAGGCTAAAAGCTATTGGGCAGGGATCTTCTGAGAACACTGTCATTACAATATGTTTACCTTTGTATGAGACTTATGTCAGTCTGCCTCTGTATGTCAGCTAGTTCCCAGCCAAAGGACGAACAGCTACTATCACTGCCAACACTTACAAATGAGGTGGCCAATAGGAATGATGGTAATGATGTCAGCTCCAGTTTTACTCCTTCTAACTGTGCTGTTTGTCACCTGTCCGTATTAACCGCATATATCTTCATTGTACACAGTATCGTTGTGATTGTCACCACCACTTCCAAACGTCATCCTGCTGGGCAATGCTATTACCACCTCACTAGAGCTGAAACAGCCCCACCACTTCCCCTCAATCATCTTTAAACCATCACCTACGGCACCAACTCTCACATTACCATGCCATGCGTTCAACTCAAATGCCTGACTACTTCATCCACTCTTAAAAACACTGACACTGTCATAATGCTGCGCACACCATTTCACACTATCTTCGCTTCTAGATTTGTTGGCTTCTGTTTTTGGATAGCTGGTGCTCTTTTGTGAGCTTCCCAGACACATCCCAATTCAGTGAGTCAACAATTCTGTTGCCATAATCTTTAATCATGTTCTCTTTCCCATCGCTGACTGTGTTTGTGTTTATCTAGGCAGAGGTATCTTCCATAACCCTTCGGTGTCCCGCCCCTTGGCACGAAATGTTACACAGAGACTGAGGCCTCATGGTCGTGTCCCTCTGATTCCCCCTACAAAGACTTTCAGGCCACCCCCTGTGTATCATAACTCAACTCTCAACAGGAAAAGGGGTATAAAACATTGGCAGTCTTCGCATTGACATAAACACAAAGACAGTTTTTCTTTTAATTGGGGCCTTTAACTGTTCAGTTTTCCTTTCATGCTTCCAAAGATCTATCCAGCCATCCTTACTTGTATTAGTTCATTCATTCTGTCATTAATTTAGTCTAACTGTTTTATTAGACTCTTTAAATGTCATGTATTGTGCAAATTCATAAATCTGTCGGGCTGTTTTACACCACATACATACGCAGCAGCATGTAAGTGTTTAGCTGATGCACACGCAATGTTTCTAAACAGAAAATAATGTGACTTAAGTTTACTGCATTGTGTATTTATTTTAATTATGGGCATTAATTATGAAGTCTATTATGCATGAGAAGAAGGACCACATTTGCATTCAAAAGGTAGTCAAGTTATATTTATATTTATTTCCATTGTTTTATTTATATCCATTAATTTATTGAAATATTATTTACTGCATTGTTTTATGTTGCTTCATAAAAACCTAAATGGCAAAAAATAAATCTTTTGTCTGAATCCTGTAACCTGTTAATATGAAATATTTAGTTTTACCTCAGTGGATATATATATATATCATGTATATATTATGGATGTTAAACTTTCTCAGTTGATTGAAAAGGCTTTTGTATATATCTATACATTCTTCTTTGCCTGTGGTTTCTCTGTTGGGTTTTAAATTCATTTCTTTAAGGGACTCTTAGGACCTGTTGACAAGATTCATGTTATCTAAAGGGAAACCACACTCACACACAGTCTCTTTCTGCCAAAAGTCTGTTTCTCATCCTTTCCTCTTCACACTGTCATTTAACTCTGCACTACAGCTGATTACTCCTGTGACACCTGATATTACAGCTGAAACTAAACATTTCAACATTTTAGTCTTTTTTTCCCTTCTATCTGGTCTCACTCTTACTCGTAATATTTATCAAAAACACTCCTGTACTCATATTATTGTTTTACAGTGTTTCTGTATGCTTTTAACACATTTCTTTGTCATATCCCTTGAATGAAATGGGTTTGATTATAACAGTCTTTTGTATCCTGACAGTGCCTTATGGTGAGCGCCATATAGGCCTTTCGGCGGCCAAAACTCAGAAGGGTCCCAGAAAGCAACTTGGTAATCTCCTTTATGGATTTTGAATGCTAATAGTTTTATCTCGTAAGGGGGGTTGCGATATATATCCATTACAGTCCTTGTGATGTTACTGTAGTTTCAAAGCCTGTTGTGTTCTTCAGTTTTGAGTGATTTTGTAGCCCCTGTCCCAGAAAACTGTGAATCGAATTGTGCATAGTGCTAGACTGGATACAGTTTTAACATATTGTTTAAGATAGATGTCACTGTTTGGTAGAAAAAATCTCTTGTGTAGAAACCGATTCCCTTGCACCTGGATTTCATGACGATTCTAGGCCAAAGAAAATATTTATGTGCTGTTCATGTCATAATGGATTTTCAGAGCTTATGGTTCTTTGGAAAAGCATGGCAGATCATGAGCATGGACCCTCTCTCACTTTATCCATCACCTTCTCCCAACCAAAGATAACACTGAAACTAAATAATGGAGAATCAAATCCCTCTGTCCTTACCCAATTGCTCATCCCATCCATCCAATCCGACTTATATTCGAAAGTCTACTGCCCTGAAGACTTTTGGCAGATATATGATTACTTGAGGAAAATGTGAAACTGTTTTACATTCATTCATTTTTTTTCATCCTAAATTAGATTCCTGAAAATGATCTGGAATGTTTTGCGAATCACATATTGGAATAATGGACCATTAAAGAGAGCTGTTGGAAATAATCATGTTTTGAGATTGATTAGTTGACAATTTTTGGTCAATATTATTTTGGACTTCTATTTTGAGTGAATATCCAGAATTATAGCGGTGTAGTTCTGCACTCCATCATAGCATTGGTCCCGTAGAGCTGTTCTTGGAGACTTTGCAGTCGTGAGAGTCTGGACAGCATTAAAAGATCCCATTTGGCTCTCACAATACCCTGACTGTGCGGACATTAGCCTGATGTCATGCAGTATTTTTTTTTTAAATTCCAACCATGTGAATGTTATTCGGAACATACTTTTCCTTCACTTCTAAATGATAGTCAGTTCGGTGTTTTCTGGCCTTGGACATTCATAATAATGTGAAATAGCTGTTCCTTTACGCTGATATTATTTTTAATTGAAAACAAAATGAAAAGGACAAACACAATGAAAAAAGACTTAGCTCTCTTTTTTGTTTAGACTAATCTCAGCCACAGCATGACTTTATGGGTTTTAATGTTTTCACTGACCCCTTGATTAACCAAAAGCAATTTCCCTGTATCTCCTGCTAAACTTCTGTCTTCTTTTACAGTTAAGACAAAGCTAAACCAGGTTTCAGAGACTAAAGAAAAGGGTGAGGACACTGACAGATAAAGATATCAAAGTCGATATGGCGACAGTCTTGATGTGCATATATTTCGTTGCCAATTAACAAAACATTTTCTATGTTAACTTTTAGAAAAGATTATTGGTCTGAAGCAGATGGACCCAGTCCCAGATCTGAAACCTCTAGCTCCACCCACTACTGAAAAACCAACCAATCAAGAGACTTCACAAACAACAACACCACAATCTGCTTTTGAAGGTATGGTCTAATGCATGTTCTGTGATTTGTACAGTTCATTTATAGAAACCTATGATGACACACTGGATACTGAAATTAGAGTGTTTGTGTACCAGTTTCTATTATAAAGTTGCAAGAAGATCTGCTGAGAATAATAGGCATAATAAGTCTAACAGAGTTGGAGTCTTGATCTTTTGATTGTTTCATGTATGTCTTTGAATCTTAGGCAGTCGTTTTCACACCGGTGACAACTCCTCTGTATTCAGTCCTCATCCCCTATCTGAGGTGGATGCAACGGGGAAGAAACGTTTTGTAGGTAGGTATATGGGTCAAAATAATTTATTGAGGAATTGGAGGTCTATTTTACAATTCAGTCAATTTTTGACAAGTCGTCGCCTGTCGTCTTTTTGCAGCGCCTCATGTGATCTATAGAACTGACAAACGCCCGGAGGAGCCATGCTCTCTCACTGAGTCTCTCAGCTTATTTCCTGATGAGGAGGTGGTATACATTAATGTCACTGGCCCGCCCAAGACCCCTCCATCCAACCTTACTGTAGTCACAGTAGAGGGATGCCCCTCTTTCATCATCCTTGACTGGGACAAAACAGACAATGAGACCACAGGTAGACTTAAAATAGAGAACTAGACTTAAACTAGAGACAGTATAGAAGTTGGTGATGGACAACTTGATAAATGAAAGGAAAAAGTTGCAATGCCCAATCTGGCAGCTGTAGGATTGAAAGTTAAAAGAGCCAACAGCCTTTTTTGACGAATGCAATGTCTGTTTTTTAAAGGGTTCACTCAAAAATTAAAATTCTGTTATTATTAATTACTGACCCTCATGTCATTTCATGGGGGGTGGGGGTGGGGTCAGAAAACTCTCAGATTTCATAAAAAACCTCTTCATTTGTGTTCCGAAGATTAACGAAGATCTTACGGGTTTGGAAAGACATGAGGTAGAATAATAAATGACAGAATTTTCCTTTTTGGGTAAACTATCCCTTTAACTCTGGAATGTGGCAAGCCTGAAAAATATAGTTTTTTAGCATTGGTTTGAGCTTAGGAAGTAAAATTTATGATACCATTGTTGTCAGATTATATTGCTGATTTGAAATATGTGAACGGTACCTGCCTTGACAAATCTTGACAGATTTTTAGTCTTTTCTCCATTCCATCAGAAAGGAGCTGTAGTTTTATGCCCATTACCTACCTAAAAAAATAACTGCCCAAGAGAGGTGTTGCCAAGATGGCCGCCAAGTGAACTGGCTTGCCTTAAGGCTTTGCTCAGACTTACTTTAGTTTGATTTAACAAGATATATGAGATATAAAACATTTTTAAATCTGTCATTATTTACTCATTTTAAAATAAGTCATTCCAAACCTTCCATGGAAGAAAGGATATGCACTGCCATTCAAAATATTGTCTGTAAAAAATCTGTAAAAAAATTAATAAATATAACTGCCTCTTATTCTCACTAAGGCCAGATTTATTTGATTAAAAAAACAAAACAATAATTGTTAAAGCTGAAAAGTTGCCATTATTCCAGTCGTTAGTGTCACATAATCCTTCAGAAAGTATTTGAAAACAGTTTTCCCCCCCTGGATACTTTAATTAGAAAAAAACATTTGTTTAAAATAGAAATCTTTTGTAATTGTCTTTACTGTCACTTTTGATTAATTTAATGCATCCTTGATGGTTAAAAGTGTTACTTTTAAAAAATCTTATTGACCCAAAACTTTTGACAAAACGATTTTCCCCCCAAAATCCAAAAAGTACACAAAAAATAAAACACACACACCATTAAATTATATTGAATACAATAAAACAGCTCAGACATTCTGGAAAACATCTCCTTCTTTGTTCTATTAAAGATGTGAAATGACAAATTCGTTTTTTTTTTGTGGTCTCAATAGAATATGACGTAGTTTCCTCAACCAAGGGTCCACATGGAGAAGAGGTGTCCATCCAGACAACAAATCAAACACATACCGCTGTGGAGAACCTGAAACCAGAGAGCAGGTATGAACACATACCATGTTCTGTGTCATGGACTTCCTAAATTAAGCTAATTGTAATTGCTACACATTACACACTAACTCATAGACCTATTTTAAAGACGTCTTTAAGCAGATTGGAAATAAGGCCATCATTTAGTCCCTTCATGAAGCAGTTTTCACTGTGAGGCCTTCAAGGTCCCCATAATATTTGTTACAGTAACATACATCTAAATAATAATGTCTGGTTGTCTGACCAATACTATTGGTTCAGAATTGTGAACTCCATTTTCTCTTGCAGTTATGAATTCAAAGTTACACCCAAGAACGAGCTGGGTGCAGGCCCAACCAGTGATCCAGTCAGTTTCAGTACTGAGTCAGGTAAGTGGAAGAGAAATGTTAAAGGCCTAAGACATGAATTCATTGTGAATAAATTGTGTGTGTAAGAATATCAGCGAAAAGCTCCTGAGCTCCAACCACAGTATGTTCTGAGATCATTGTGAAATCATCTGGCTCATCCAGTGAATCGGAGCTCTATTTGTTCCGGAAGTGTCACCGGGCCAATTGTATCAACAAGAGAGGCATTAATGATATTACTTCAGAGTCACTCTTTTCCATAACAAAAATTAATGGCATGTGAAGTTCTAAAAAGAAAACAAGCACCATAAAAGCAGTCTGCACAAATTTTGTGCCGTTTCAAGATATTTGAAGCCATACGAGAGCTTTGTGTGAAAAACAGACCTTAATGCAAATCATTCGAAAACATTCGAAAGCACCGCAATGAGTCACAAGTTGCGTGAGAGCCGATTGTGTTTGATGTCATTGAACAATTTAAATAAACTGGCGCTCATGGAATAATAGAGTCAGGCAGGCAGGCCAAGGTAACTTAAGAACAAAAGATTGATCTCGCAGGTGTGTGAAATTGGCAATGAACCATTGCTGTAATATATATGTATAGTTAGCATATAAGCATTACTGTCAGCAGTGAGAGTAATGTGGCTAATGTGCCTAATAGTTCCAATGTGTTCACTCTTCTGTGTCTATTGAAGTCATTTAGGTAAAAAATACAGTACTGGGGCCCTGATAAACTGCCAGAAAATAATAATAACCATGAGGATATCTGACACAAGCTCTGGAAAATTGTACATCACGAAGGACAACTCAGGGGAATTTCCTGGTGCTTTAGATTTTGAGTAACTTTGTTAGAAATAAGTCCAAAAACATGCTGTTTTGATATATTCAGACCTTGAGTGGAGTTATTTACCTGATGGTATATTGTCTGGCTTAAGTTTAAGGTAGGAATTCTTACCTTTGACAATTATGTGTTTGGATCAACCTAATTCACATATGTATAGTTTCATAGTAGGTATGGGGAAAAATGGTTAATTTAATCAATTTTTTGACATACACTTGCATTTACAGTAAACTACCATTCAAACCTTTGGGCTTTAAAATAAATTAACACTTTTATTCAGCAAGGATGCGTTAAATTGATCAAAAGTGACAGTAAAGATATTTATAAAGATTTATACATTTAAAATAAATACAGGTCCTTCTCAAAAAATTAGCATATTGTGATAAAGTTCATTATTTTCCATAATGTAATGATAGAAATTAAACTTTCATATATTTTAGATTCATTGCACACCAACTGAAATATTTCAGGTCTTTTATTGTTTTAATACTGATGATTTTGGCATACAGCTCATGAAAACCCAAAATTCCTGTCTCAAAAAATTAGCATATCATGAAAAGGGTCTCTAAACGAGCTATTAACCTAATCATCTGAATCAACTAATTAACTCTAAACACCTGCAAAAGATTCCTGAGGCTTTTAAAAACTCCCAGCCTGTTTCATTACTCAAAACAGCAATCATTGGTAAGACTGCCGACCTGACTGCTGTCCAGAAGGCCATCATTGACACCCTCAAGCAAGAGGGTAAGACAGAAAGAAATTTCTGAACAAATAGGCTGTTCCCAGAGTGCTGTATCAAGGCACCTCAGTGGGAAGTCTGTGGGAAGGAAAAAGTGTGGCAAAAAACGCTGCACAACGAGAAGAGGTGACCGGACCCTGAGGAAGATTGTGGAGAAGGACCGATTCCAGACCTTGGGGGACCTGTGGAAGCAGTGGACTGAGTCTGGAGTAGAAACATCCAGAGCCACCGTGCACAGGCGTGTGCAGGAAATGGGCTACGGGTGCCGCATTCCCCAGGTCAAGCCACTTTTGAACCAGAAACAGCGGCAGAAGCGCCTGACCTGGGCTACAGAGAAGCAGCACTGGACTATTGCTCAGTTTTGCATGTCATTCAGAAATCAAGGTGCCAGAGTCTGGAGGAAGACTGGGGAGAAGGAAATGCCAAAATGCCTAAAGTCCAGTGTCACCAGTGTCAGTCCCACAGTCAGTGATGGTCTGGGGTGCCATGTCAGCTGCTGGTGTTGGTGCACTGTGTTTTATCAAGGGCAGGGTCAATGCAGCTAGCTATCAGGAGATTTTGGAGCACTTCATGCTTCCATCTGCTGAAAAGCTTTATGGAGATGAAGATTTCATTTTTCAGCACGACCTGGCACCTGCTCACAGTGCCAAAACCACTGGTAAATGGTTTACTGACCATGGTATTACTGTGCTCAATTGGCCTGCCAACTCTCCTGACCTGAACCCCATAGAGAATCTGTGGGATTTTGTGAAGAGAAAGTTGAGAGACGCAAGAACCAACACTCTGGATGAGCTTAAGGCCGCTATCGAAGCATCCTGGGCCTCCATAACACCTCAGCAGTGCCACAGGCTGATTGCCTCCATGCCACGCCGCATTGAAGCAGTCATTTCTGCAAAAGGATTCCCGACCAAGTATTGACTATTGAGTGCATAACTGAACATAATTATTTGAAGGTTGACTTTTTTTTTTGTATTAAAAACACTTCTTTTATTGGTCGGATGAAATATGCTAATTTTCTTAGACAGGAATTTTAGGTTTTCATGAGCTGTATGCCAAAATCATCAGTATTAAAACAATAAAAGACCTGAAATATTTCAGTTGGTGTGCAATGAATCTAAAATATATGAAAGTTTAATTTCTATCATTACATTATGGAAAATAATGACCTTTATCACAACATGCTAATTTTTTGAGAAGGACCTGTATATGCTACAAAATATATGTTGTTTTTAATGTTCTATTTTTTTTTAAACATCATGAAAAAAAATATTACAGTTTTCACAAAAATATCAAGCAGCACAGCTTTTAAAATTGATATTAATAATCAGGGCTTGACATTAACACCCGCCAACCCGCCAAATGCGGGTGCATTTCACCCGTGGCGGGTAACACAGTCACTCTCACTAGCCACTTTGGCGTGTTGAAGATTTGTAGTCTTGTCAAAGGACATCTGACATAACAAACGAATTGCAATTTGACACTATGCCACTACCACTCCCATGAGTACCACCTGCACATAGTTTAGTGTTTGCTCATTGGTCCATTCGTGAATCCTCTTGAACGACAACACTGCAAACAAGAAGACACGCGGAGATTAAACTCGCGGACTGTGCGCCGAACTGGGCTGTTTTAGTCTGCCCTTAATTATCAACTTAATGTGATGATATACCGATCTTTTTTTAATAGCAGGAGAATCCAGACCACCGGCGTGTCTCACGCTCTCCTGCAGTGCCGCTGCGCGAGGGTGCGCGCGCCAAACGAACGATCATCACACGCGACTGGTCGCATACACACACACATCAACACAGCGTTCAGTCAGTTCGTGAGTGTGCATGGCCGGTATTAAAGCAAAAATCATCTTCATGATTAAGGGCCACGGTGTAGGCCTAACTACTAGCAGGGCTGCCCTTATGTCACGTCATATCACAACTATCTTTCCAGAGTTAATTCTATGTTTTAATAAAATTAATCATGCCATGAAAGAAAGCAGGAGATGCGCTTGTGGGAATAATCTGGAAAATAAAGACCTGTAGGCCTATACTTGTTTCAGGTGGACATATCTCCAGTTACTCAGAGCTTCATGATGATAATTATTAAGTCAGAGCTCTGAGGAAAAGCTGATGCAAAACAAACAATCCAAAGTCCTATATAGTCCTATATAGCCTATATAAAGTTGTAATCCTGGTGCCTTAATTGTGGATTTTTTCTTTAAAATTATTATTTATTCTTTGCTCGTTGTTTCTAATGCAGATAATTGTTCTACTCTGTATTGCAGTATTTACTGCTGTAAAACAAAAAACAAACAAACAATGCAGCACTTTTATTATATACAATAAGAAGCTATTTTATGTGTATCTTAGACAACATGTTATCAAAAAAGGAGCTTAACAACCTTATCAGAGCTAATGATAATATTAGTTCATTTTAGCACGTTTTTTAGCCCCATTGTCAATTTTAATCATATAAAACGTACAACAACAAAACTGTGGCTAGTAAAAATGCTGCGTGGCTAGTCATTTTGGAAAACCACTAGCCACATTGGCTAGTGAGCAAAAAAGTTAATGTCAAGCGCTGTTAATAATAAATGTTGCTTGAGCACTAAATCAGCATATTAGACTGATTTCTGAAGGATCATGTGACAGTGACTGAAGACTGGAGTAATGATGCTGAAAATTCAGCTTTGCCATCCAGGAATAAATTACATTTTACAATATTAAGTTTTTTACTGTATTTTTGACCAAGTAAATTCAGCCTTGGTAAGCAGAAGAGACTTCTTTTAAAAACAAACATTAATGAAAAATCACAAAATATAGATTATGCATTAAGTTGCGTTGACATCATGTTTCTTCTGTATTGCAGCTGATCCTCGCGTAAGTGAAACCCCCACTGGTAAGTGTTTCAATCCAAGTATACAATATATATATTTAAAATACAAACACGCAATATGTCTATACAAAATGTACATGTCTAATCTAGAAATGTAAAATGTCTAAACTATATGGGCTCTCATAGGTAAAAATGCCATCTGGTCATCGTTTCCGTTCAGAGCCGACTCGTACTCAGAGTGCAACGGGCGGCAGTTCATAAAGCGGACCTGGTACCGCAAGTTTGTGGGTATCCAGTTGTGCAACTCTCTCAGATACAAGATCTACCTGAGCGACTCTCTTAAAGGTCAGTATCAACCATTTACAGACTCACCAAATATTTCTGCTAAAAGTAACTTAGTTACTCTTTAATTCTTTCTTCAGGGAAGTTCTACAGCATAGGAGATCAAACAGGGTATGGGGAGGACCACTGCCAATTTGTTGACTCGTTCCTGGACGGACGAACCAGTGGTCCTCTTCCGCAAAACCAATTACCACCCAGACAAGGTTTCTTATATAATTTTTTTTGTTTTTTTAAACAAAAACACAATAATCTCAGACAAAAGATATGATGATTTCTCCTCTCTTATCAAGGCTTTTTCCGGGCCATGCGTCAAGAGCCTGTCAATTTTGGGGAGATCGGAGGAAATTCCATGATTAACTATGTGGCCTGGTACGAGTGCGGGATACCCATTCCTGGGAAGTGGTAGGACCTCGAGGAGCAGATGGAAGACATGACGGATAAGAAAAAGCAGTTCCCATGGAAGAACCGGCCTTTTTTGATTGCGCACAGACAGAGTATGTATCTCTGTTTTTCGGTTATCGAGCACATATAGAATTATTTATACTGTAAGCTCAAACAGTGGAGCAAACGCACAGAGCTGAATAAATGTTACCATTGAGATTAAGAAGTTAAACGTTTGATAATATAGGGAAGCAGGCTCCCTTAAAGGCTAAATAAAGGTGTATATTATTTATCAAAATGTTGAATATGCCACTTTAACAAAGGCAATATTTTTAAAGCTCTTATGTTCTATTCTTCCATACAATTTTTGTTATAGCTCAATTATTTAGTGGTGGGACTGTTTGGGATGATGGACTTCTGCTTAGGAGTTGCCAAAGTAATTTCTAAAGGTGGATTTTTCTCCCAGTAAACAGACCTTTTTTGGACCTTGCAAGTGTTGTGCAAAAGTTACCAGGTTTACTGGCTTTAAATGGTCATGGCAGGAGTTGAAAAATTGGACATATCTGTAGTGTTTCAGATACACTGGTCTCATGTGAATAGTCTCATTAAGTCTTTTGGCTTTGCTTATAAAATACTGTGTATTTTAACATTTAACTGGGTGTAATGCTTTGCCGCTAGACTTTCATTGTGCTTTGACCATGTTTTTTTTTTTTTTTCAAATAGAGTTGAGGTTTTTTCTGTTATTGTTAGTGAAACACGCTGTTAATAACATACTGAACCCAGAATATTCCTTCAACAGCTCAAGTTCAACATTAAACAAGGAATTTAAAGAGTAGGCCATATAATCCAAGTCATGCAGCTTTTCAATTTATTGTTGTAATTATACAGTTTTTAATGTCAGAAATGCAATATCACTTTAACAAGGAAGTCTATTGTTTTGTACAGAAGTTCAGAGACTCATGATTTCCTGAGAAAGCTTTTAAATGCCAGATTTTGTGTAAAAAAGTTTTTACATTGAAATTTTGATTTTATAGATGTTTATCTGCTTTACTAATAAAAGCACAAGCAATTTATTTAGTTTTATGATCTCTTTTTTTGTGGCTGTAATTTTTAAAAAGAAAATTCAATTGTTTCTGAATCTGATATAAAAAAAAGATATGGCCTGTTTTCATATTGATTTATAAGAAATCTTCAAATCAGTTAGAGAAAGATCTGAATACATTTTTATTCCATAAACAAATGAATAAAGCTCCCATTACTTCAGTCTCAAAGTCTTTATTCACCTCCTGAAAACAGTTACAGTTTATACAGAAATGACAGGCTTCACTGCAGAGGGCCAGTCAGGGGTTAGTAAAAACCAGGACATTTGAAAAAGTAAAGAAAATGAGTAAAGAAAACTAAACAAATATCACTTACTTTGATTATGATCATTTTCTAGTGTTTAAACAGACTCATTGTTTATGACAAAATAACACCAATGAGGAGACCGGTGATAAAATAAACTGCACACACACACACACACACACACACACAGCTGTCCACTCCCACACCGTTTGGTCTCCCATGTGTGCAAACACACACATACAACCTTCACTAGCTCATTGTCACATGCATTCATACATGCACCCAAAGCACAAACAAACACAAACACAATATTAGGATGTCAAACATAGATTTCGGGGCTGATGTGTTGGAGACAGAGAAAACTTGTAGCGAGGTGCTATGGGGACATTAAAGGGCTTTTACCGATACCCAGGGCCCGGCTGGGTGTAGCCCTGGCCATAAGGGGGGCGGTTTCGGGCATAGGGGTTGGCACCCCCTGGGGGAGGGGTGGTGCCAGGTGGCGGGGTGTATCCAGGACGGGGCTGATACCCCCCTGTGGCCTGAGAGGTTGGCGGCAGGCTGTAGTTAGCTGGCTGCTGAGAGGCCTGGGATGTGTAATTTTGAGCAGGAAATGCTCCAGGTGGGTACTGGGTGGGTCCTTGGGGAGCAGGAGCCTGTGATTGGTTGGAAAACCCAGGAGCTGAGCCAGGGGCACCAGCTGCCTGAGAGGTAGTGGTGGGGTAATTCTGAAACTGCTGTTGAGCAGGTGGAGCCTGAGGAACACCAGACTGAGGAGTATAACCAGCTGAAAAAGAGTTTTAAATTAATAATTCAAAATAAACAACATTAAGGTTTGGTAATATATATGCTTTGGAGTAAACAGAAAAATTATTTCAACAAGCCACTATTGATTGCATTTCTTACATATATTTGATTATTTACTTTTTAGTAATTGTACATGTTCTTATTCTTTCATTTTAATTACAGGTTATTAGCATATTTGCATTTTTACTTTGTATTCACAGGCAAGGCTAGTTTTTAAATTATTTGCCATCCAATTTTGTCCAAACTTTTCAGATGAATGAAATTTTTTTTTTGTTATGAACCAGGCTTAAAGTTCAGCTGTAATTTAAGGAGAAATCATTAGTATGCATTTTAAAGAATTACCAGGGTACTGCATCCCGTACTGTTGCTGGGGTCCCGCTGGCGGAGGATATCCACCTGGAGCCTGATACTGCTGATACATCTGACCTGTTCAATCACAGAAAACAAGTTTTTTTAAGGATTAAGATTCAGTGTTAAGGGAGGGAATTCCTATAAAAATCAGCAAGCAGCTTGTAGATCCTAGCGTGGATATCCCACTGTTACATGGTTTCACCATCAAAAGTTTGAGAAAAATCTGGAACACCAGAGGGCCATAAATATTAGGAACTGATCTCTCTCGCTCTGCGTTGGAATATATTTTGATGTAGGATATCTGGCATGTTACTCTGGAATATCAACAAATAAAGTGCCAATACAGAGGAATTGATTGGAAACATGCAAATAAGAAAGCCATATAATATTGAGCCGTCGATGGTTCATTTAAACGCTGGCGGTCGATGACAGTCTGACCATCTGTATAGGGCACAGTTCTTGATCCTGACCAACACATTTTAAATCCTTTATGCCTAGTTCAGACAACAAGACTTTAGATGTCTGCAGATCGCTGTGCTGTTCAGACTACATGACTTGCTGTCTGTAATGTGGAGTCTTGAAGTCGTTGTGGTGTTTACACTACGTAAATGATTCACAACAGGCGGTTACACACTACACGAGCTGACAACAACTGTCAGCCAACAACTCTATCCGGTCCCCAAACCAAGAAAACGCATCTGGAACATGAAAATGACGCGAAACAGGAGTAAACAACAACAACAACAACAAAGGCATTCGTTCTCCTGCCACAGTTTAATAAAATGTTGCTCCATTTCTAGTGTCCACACTTTTCTTGAAGCCATGTTACTGCTGCAGTTTTTCTTCCAGGGACCTCAACCCATGCCTTGCTCTCTCATTGGCTATATTTGCTTGGCGTTGGAGAGGCGTCAGCAAGCCTCTTTGATGTTGTTGAGTCGTTGAGTAGTTCACACACAAAGATTGGCGAGCGCTGATCACCCGCTGATTTGCCCCTGTCGGCGAGCTAGTTGACTTGCAAATTGGGCTTAAAATCCTGTAGCCTGAAATTGGCATTGTTGGATCCAAATAAATAAAAAATCTTACAATTATCCTAATATTTTTAAAGACCTTAAACAGCAATATAATCTTGCACATAAACAGACCTCACATATCACGATGGGTAGAGATTGTGTCGCTGACACAAAGCAGCAGACCGATTATCCAAAGTTCATAAATGTGTGTGTGCATCGCACCAAGAAACTAATGAAAAAAGGCTGTGTGTGTGTCCCAGTGCGGCATGCGATGGGAACAATAAAGCAGAGAAAAGCATCACAACTCCACAACTCCATGAAACCATGGCAACCATCCGCACAATATGCCAAATCTAGAACAGCTCTGCACAATTTCTCATGTGCACTGCGTCTATCTGGAAGAACTTTGGAAGAGGAGGGGGTGGGATCAAACCCAATGGACGGGCGGAGAATAACATTATGCTCTTGACTTGAAGGCCATTTGATTTGTGGTTTGTTTTTCTTCCGCTGGACAGCTTCCCAAAGGCCTCAGTTAGAAGACAACATCTGTAAGGTGCTTTTATGCTGCAAACAAATAAGTTTTGTGTGCATTGTTTGTACGAGTGTGAGAGAACATGTGTAAGTACAGGTGTGTGACCTTCCTGCCAAAGCAGCATGACCTGCCAAAACGAGATTAGGCCAGCATTTCTCAAGTGCACTGGACTGATGTGGAAGTTTTTTGGATAAAGAACGAGGGGAGATATTCCAATGGCCAAGCGGAGAATAACATCATGCTCTGAATCCACTACAAAGACTTTGTGGCCATATGATTCTTTGTTCATTTTTCTTTCGCTGGACTCTTTCCCATAAGCATCAGAAGAAAACATCTGTAATAGGGATGTGCAAAACTACATTCTCAAAATCGACTGGCCAGACTTAAGGAAGCCCTGAACAATTAGACTGATTTCTACTTTACACTTTCTACAAGTGTACTGGAGTACAATTTGTAAAAGCAGCGATTTACCATCCATAGTACTAGAGGGAGGTTGTTGGACCCCTGAGTAAGGTGGGGGAGCCTGGGAAGCCAAAGCAGAAGGGGGCGCTGCAGAGGATGAAGAGGCAATACTGTCTGGAGTAGCAGAGCGCTCCTCTGCAGCAGCGGTGGCGGCTACAGCTGGAACTGGAAAACAAGGAACAGATAAGGAAAATGTGATTCATTATAAATCAGGTGGTTCCAGATATAAAATCTGAATGAACGAGCGACACTAGAAGCCGTAAAAATAACAGACAAACACACCTGTGACAGCCCATCAACTGAAACTTACATTAATGCAGCAAGTGGCTATAAAAAACCATTGAAAAGTACAAACTAATAATGTATATAAAGAAAAAAAAAACGAATTATACAATTACTTAGCCATCTATTAATAAACATTAAGCTTCTTTTTAAATATCATTTTAGATTTATTTATTTTTAACACTGGGAAAAAGAACTCTGATTACAACAAACAAATGAGAAATTTCACAATTAATAAGCCACAAATAAATTCTATGAAATCTGTACATGAATAAGGTACCTTGGGCAGGTTCCTCAGACAGGCCAAATGCAGAAATGACATTCTTGTTAACCTCTTCCTGGTTCTTCAGGGGGTCAAACGCAGACATGCTAGCAGCACTAACCGGCGGGGCATACTTCATTGTTGAATCTACTGCATCATTCACACATTCTGTCACACAGAGACATCAGAACAAGACAGCTCAAGTACTGCCTTTCTGTAACTCTCTAGGTAATTTATGAGGTTCAATTTAAAAGAGAAAGTTCACCCAAAATTTTTAACTCTGTCATCCTCCTCATTCTGTTCCAAACCCATATGATAAACGTGTTTGAATACATTCAAATGTGACACATCAAGACATAACTTCGTATTTATGAGTTGCTGAGTTTCACGGTAGTAAAGTCTTATGGGTTGGGAATGACACAAGGGTGTGTAAATGATGTTTTCACTGAAAAACCCTTTATGCTCTCCAACTTATACAATCTAAGTGAGCTTCTAGAGTGAATTTACATGTTTCAAATGCTTTAGTTACAGTATTGGATATGAAGAACAAGAGAATGACTCATGTGTGTACCGGTTTCTGGGTTGGTGCTCTCTGGGACAGACTCTGAGGGGGGCTCCAGGCTGTCCAGCAAGCTGTTGACTTTATTCCTCAAATGGATCAGTTCTCTACGCAGGTGCTTCACCTGAGATGACTCCAGTGGCCGAGGCTGCCCATTCACTGCGAAAAACACAAGCATTATTTTTGAAAGCACTGTCTAACACTTTGTTCTAACTATTTCCATAAAACTATTGTTCTAATCCATGTTACTTTGGGTTCTAACCAGCTGCCAGACATTTCATCAACCACATCATTTCTATTTTTGTCATGCCTTTCTTTCATCCAAATTCCTGTCCTCACATATTAAACATAAAAAATGTTCTGATTTGCTATGATTTTGTCATTTCATGCAGCTTTTCGCTTTCAGTTAGGACGGAAAAATTACTTAACACTGGAAACTCGTCCCAATTCGCCTGGATAGGATGTCAAAGTCAACAAGTGATCAACAAAATTAGATAATTTAGATAGCCAGACTATGTCTATATGATGAGGAAATCCAGAGTTTTGCCGTTATGTGTGAGCTTGGAATGCTCTTTCCTAAGTCCATGTGTGAGACCGGCTGCCGCTTGAACCATTCCAGACTCTTCAGAGATCACACAAGCTCTAGCAGGCATCCAACCCAGCCCCTGGGCGCCAGTCACACGTTTGGGATGCATACACACACGTGACGTTATACAACCATGAACCAGCACATTTGAACTCTTAAAATCTAAATTCTCTACTTCAAGCATCCAACAAAGGGCAGGGCTACATTTGCTAATACAAGGTCAAGACATGACTTCATTGGGCTGGAGCACAGACGCTTTGGACAGTGCACAGAGCAGACTTGACCAAAAGTTATTAATTTTTATTAGGAAGAGAAACGTATATTTTGAGTTGGTACTAAAATCGGTTCTTTCAGACCACATGGTCTACACAATTTGAGCATAAATACTGGCTTTTGTTACAGCCACGCAACGCAGGTTGCAACGCAGATTGCAACCTTTGATTTTGGCTAGACTTGGCAAATAAATCAGTGTAAAATAGTGTATGAATCAAGCTGACCAAATCTACAGGCTCGGCAGCGTTTACGATGACACATTTGAAGAATAGTCGGCACATGGTGAGAACTGGCACTGACACTGCAGTGCAGATGTACCTGTGTGAGCCAAACATCGCTAGAACAGAGAGAGCATGACGTTATTGGGCAAGTAACCGGGTTTGATTTTCCTCTCTTAAGAATATTCGTTTGTGCCACAGACCAGTTAAAAAGAAGAATTGCTTTTCAGCACAGCTCACGAAATTGAGAGCAGATTTAGAGCCTATAAAATGACCCTGACCCTTTATAGAGATATAGAGAAGTCCCTGTATAGAGAAGCTTGTTAGCTGCAGGGCTTCCACTCATTTAACCAATGAATTTACATGACTCTTCAGGTCATTCATCATGTACAGGACATGGATTTTTAACATTATTTTAAACTCACAATTTCTCCCTGATAAAATATTTTAGAGCTTGGTATAACTAGAAAAATGTATATTCTTTATAAAACAAGTGCTCATGGCATTTTAAAATTTTATTAATTTCTAGGTCTAGAAATCACATTTTTAAAATTAGGCTTCCTCATATATCAAGGTTTTCCAAGACCAAGGGAACCCTGGCTCTTCAAATAAAACATACAGTTGTTGAGGGTGTGAATTAAAATACTAAATGTTTTATTTTAATGTTTGTTTTATCTTAATTGAAATCATTTTAAGTGATCTTGAGGTGCCCCGGCCCCGTGGTTGAGAACCAGTGCTTTATGTTAATCAAAAGAAGCCACTGGTCACAATGCATGTTTTAAAAAGTATCAGAAATACTCATTCTGTCTTAAGTACTGCATTAAATCTGTTAACATTTAGGATACATTTAAAATCTAAATGTTGTGTCATATCAATGGCCCAACAAGTATTTGGACAATCAAGTCACACTTAAAGGGGTTACCACCAGATTTTACGGTTCCATTGCACCCAAAATCCCAAATTAACACCCCACTGATAACCTCACATGGTCAGACACGGTCATTATCAGTTCAAATCTTGTTCTATTGCACCCTCTGCTGGACACTAAAAGCTCCAGCTGTGTTATCATTGAAAGAGAAAAAAACGACATCTGGTTGGATGAAATATGACCAAGTTCAGCATTTTTAAGATTAAAAGAGCTTAACTCCACAATAATACACCATCCATGCCGATGTGGGATTATGTGCTTAAGAGAGAGTCCATTTTAACCCAAAGGTTAAAGGATACAGCTTTGTATAACACTCTGTTTTCTGGGTCACAAAAACACACTGTGGAATCGAAAAGCTTTAACTTGATATGCTTCTTTTTTTGTATGTAAAAAACACCATCCAAAAAGCATAAAAACAACTATGGGCTGCATATGAGCTGCTTGGTTCTTATAGTGCTATACACCTATTCTGTCAAGGGACACCATGACCACTGGAGCGTTTTTGGAATATGATCTTCCTGCAGGTAAGATAAACCTACACAAGCTCACTGACCTCAACTCTGAGCATGATTAGCACTGATGCGAACAGTGTTGTTGTGCCTGTATCTGTGGCCTGAAGTTGTTATAAGAATATAACTTGCCCCTCAGTTTGTAAAATGAACAAAAAACACATTTATAGATATAAACTTACAATGGAAGCCTAGCAGGCAGGTGGGCTGGAGGACTGAACAAAAATACAAGCTTCAAGTTTCAGATTTTAAAGCAAATAAAAAAAATCTGCATTTGAACAAAGTTGTTCTACATAGTTCTTTTAAGTTGGGAGTGGGACTACTTTTTACACCAATTAACTTCTGGTTGTGCATTACATAATTTATTGTTTTAATTCTGCTATATGTAAACAATGCTTTACAAAAACTTACATCACATTCCTTTCATGCTCCTTCATGGTGCAGATACCAAGTGAAAGTAACAGAGTTTATACATGATTTGGTAATTCCAATACACACGTCACCAGTTTCATACCGATACCCTATAGGCTTCACTGTAAGTGTATTACTGTAAACATTTTTCATTCACTCTAGAATATTCCTTTATGTCAGGTTGAGGAAAAAACCCTAAGCATTGCTGGGAGGGCTGCAACTAACGATTATTTTGATAATTGATTAATCGGACGATTATTTTTTCGATTAATCGGTTAATCGGATAAAAAAATTCAATTAGATTTTTTTGTTTATTGACTAAATAAAACCCGGTTACACTTTATTTTAAGGTGTCCTTGTTACAGTGTAATTATATATTTAAGTACAGAGTAATATTAAGGAACTACATGTACTTACTATAGGAATAGGGTATGATTAGGATTTGGTTGAGGGTTAGTTGCATGTAATTATGCATAATTTACTGTTATTACTACAGTAAGTACATGTAACATATGTAACAAGGACACCGTAAAATAAAGTGTTACCTAAAACCCTAAATTAGGATATTTATGTGTAAAAGTGTACTTTAAAAAGTGCAAAAGCCACACATTGAGTTTTAGTAATATCAATATTTGCATTGTTTTTAATAATAATTGCTGATGGCAAGTTGACAACCATGATTAATGTAAAAAAAAAAAAACATTTATATCCAACATATTGTTTTAACACAATTTTTGTTAAAACAAATTTACACAGACATGTTGTTCAGATATAAACTAAAAACATCTAAAATATATAATTCATTTAATTTTTATTTAAAATTAATTGAATTATAAGGATACATTGATAAAATAAATATAGAAAGACTGAAAACAAGCGTGTGAACGTAGAGCTGCATTAGATCGCGTTTGAAAAACAATTAAAACTTAATAGACAAATGCAGTAAATAGAGAACGGAATGGATGTACGCAGCAAGCTAACAGGCTTGATTAAAAAGACAGGAAAAATGATGCATTAGTGCACAAGCATTCGCTGAAAACCACTGAGTACAGTGACTTGACTAAAACAATCTTTTACTGCTGCTGTTATTAACTGCCTTCATATTTAGTGCTTCGCTTTGTAAAGACCGTTTTAATTTAACCTATTTCTGCGGTAGCGCTATTTTAATCCATCACTTATGTTGCGAGCGAACTGATTGCGCAACCTGATGCTCGAGACAAAATACAGACATCCCAAGTCTCCCGGAAGTTCTGGGAGTCACCCGCATATTGATAGCGGCTTATGCGGCTCACTGATGCCTGCAAATTAGTTCAAACTCCCGGGATTTGAGCGCGCATGCGAGACAGAAGAGACTGTGCTCTAAACCGTGTAGCGCGCGCGTGCGGCAGAGCGGCGGAGGGAGAGAGGCCTTGCGTGTGTGCGTATGTGCCTCATGAAGCGCGTGTAAGACAGAGAGCATCCTGATTGGCCTGTTTCAACCAATCACCAGTAAACCCTCCCCGTGACGTAAGCAGACCAACTAATCGATAATGACATTCCTTGACAACGATTTTCATAATCGATTATTATCGATTTTATCGATTAGTTGTTGCAGCCCTAATTGCTGGTTTCTTACCAAAAAGAGTGAGCTTCAATATTCTACTGCACTGGATCGCAAAGGACAAATCAGAACTGTCAAAGATGGTGATAAGGTCATCATCTGAAAGAGAACAGACAAATGTAGAGTTTGAGACAGTAAAGAGTTTGAGATCTAGACCAAAGTCTATAGTGCAAAACTACTGAGAAGTTTAATATAGGTTAATTTATCTTATAGTATTATAGAACATGACTGATAAGCAAATGGATAAATACTAGTGCTGCCAATCGATAAAAAAAACCCCCTCTTAAATCGCATTTTTTACATTGTTCTGTAATTAATCACGATTAATTGTACCTAACTTTAAAAGTTTTTAATATATATTTTTATATTGTAATACTTTCACATGATTCTCCAAAATAATGTACAAACAACAAAGACGGTATATTTTAAATATTTAATGGCATCTTTTTGCTAATCACTAAGAACAAAGGCCAGTATCACTGATACCAGAACTGATACTGATGTCACAATTACATGGATTTTTATTTAGCCATTAATTATAGCCATTTAACATTACACTATAATTTAAAGCTATCAGCTTTAACATTAAATAGGCTTTTTTTATATATATATAAAAAAACTTTAACATAAGTGAACTTAAAACAATCTTCACATCAACCCATTGAAACTAATGTCATTTAGGTGAGTCTTATGTTAAGGGCTCAACACTAAGGTTTTTTTTCTACTTGCCCAGTCAGACCGGTTCAGATTTTTACCTGCCCTGCTAAAATGCAGAAAAAAGTAATTGTTTTCGTTTCATGGGTTATGACCCATGTAACCTTGTAAACAGTGTTTTAGATTTCTAGGTACGTCTAACAGGTAAATATACAGAAATTGAATACTACAGCAATGATTTCTGCATCTGTGCAGTTAATAAACACTGCACAGTCTTCTCTGCATAAATTATAAATTGAATATAGATTAATCCTTACTAAAGCTACAAAGTTATTCAGTCAAGAGCAGTGAGTGATTTTCTCTTTGTTCTTTGATTAACATTAATGACAGACAGCAGCAGGTTTATTAGGCTGCTGTCACTTTAAAACCAGACGCAGATGCGGATCTGACACGCATCCTATTTTCTCACAACTCTATACGTTCATTTAATACTTTTTAACTCATTTAAGACTACCATTCAAGTGCGAGAAAAAAAACTCAATGCGGCTCTGGCGTGCTGTCTGAAGCGTCATTCTGTGCGCCCGTTTCGGGTGTTTGTTCAAAGAGAGTCACTTCACAGAGAGCGCGTCAGTACATATTTGAGTTATTTTTTTTTGCATCTTATCATGCTTGAATGGTTTAACAGCACTTGAATGAATGATAGGGTGATCATATACTGTAGCGCAGCCAAAGGATGACACTCACGTGACATTTTGCAGTTATTCACAATCACGAAAGTTTATTATTTGCATGTGTATTAAACCTTGGCGGTTAAACATTTTATTTGCACGCTGTTCTGACCCAAAGCGGCACACACTAAAAGCCTGTCAAACAGCGCGTGAGTACTAAACTAAGGTATATTTAGCGTCTCATTGCGCTTAAACTGTCAAATACACACATGGTTTACAAAAACAGTCAGTTATGTCTCAAGTGAATGTAACAGTTGGGAGAAAACCGGATGCGTGTCTGTATATTAGATCTGTGCATGAGGTCTTAAAGTGACAGCAGCCTACTAGACCTACTGCCGCTTGTCATTAATGTTAATAAAAACAAAGTAGGGGTGTAACGATACCCTCATGTCACAATTCGATACATATCACGATACTGAACTCACGATACGATATTATTGCGATACTCCAAGACATATGTACATTTACATTTACATTTAGTCATTTAGCAGACGCTTTTATCCAAAGCGACTTACAACTGAGGACTAAACCAAGCGAGTCATCGTGAAGAGGCAAAAGCAACGCAAGAAGTGCTCAAAATACAAAGTTCAGACATAGCTCGGAGTAGCATAAGCCAGGCAAGCGAGGATTTAGAGGAAAGGATTTTTATTTTTTTATTTTTTTTATGTTAAGTGCTCCCGGAAGGGATGAGTTTTCAGATGAGTTTTTGTTAACCTTTTGATAAAAGGTTAACAAAAAATGTACTGTTGATTAAAACAAGACTTGGTGCTTGTAACCCAAGGAAAATGGTGACACCAGAATAAAAATATTCATGATTCTGAAGCTGAAAATACAGAATTATTTTAGACGAATATGCTTGCACTCTGTCACTGACTAGATATATTTAAAATAATGTTGGCCACTTTTTACTGGTAACATAAGACATTTGGCATTATCAGGACCCACAAATATTCCCCCATTGCATTATTATACATTATAATCAACATTATGTATAGTAGTTTAATGTAGTACTGACACTAAAACTCTGAAAAAATTGAATTTATTTCTCACACAGTAATTTTTATTTTGGGGGAACTATCCACGATACATATTGTCACTATCCACGATATGTATTGTTGCATTTTTGTATTGCGATATATTGTGGCACGATATATTGTTACTCCCCTAAAACAAAGAGAAAATCACTTACTGCTCTTCACTGAATACCTTCAGTAACTTTAATAATAATCAATGTAAATATAATTTATACAGTGAAGTCTATGTCGTGTTTTATTTTTATATATATTTATTCAATTTCTTACTTGAATACTACGGTTAGTTATCACCTACTGTGAAAAAATAAAGCACTGTTTATTTCATTTGTATATTATATTGCATTTGTAATGTGTATCTTTGTTCTTATTTATAATAACAAAGATAAAATAATGAAAAATATTTTCATCTTCGCCAACCCCAACTTTGGCCTAAATGGTCTGTCATTCTTTTATCTTTATATATATTTTGTTACCATGTAAGGCTACATTTTAAAATAGGGAAATTAATTTGGCTATACTGCTCAGTCACTTGGAAAATAGTAAAAAACCAACATGAAAAATTGTGATAAAATCGTGATTTTCCTGAAAAAAAATCATGATACATGGCAAATCAGCGTTCCATAACGCCCACCCCTATATTGAGGGGGAGAGGAGGTTAATGTTTTAGATTAAAGATTACGAGGGCATATGAATTAAAAATAAATAAATAAGGATATGCACAGTAGGGGTGGGAGAAAAAAATCGATCCATCGATGCATCGCGATTCTCTCTCCAACGATTCTGGATCGAATCTGAGAATTCCAGAATCGATTCTGAGCTTAGTTTTTAACCAGATGTGCGATGACGTTGAGTTTGCTTTAGAAACACCCGTATTCTGCTTGCTTCCAAATCCTCACACACATACACCACTCGAACCTTCCGTAAAATAATCTTTCATAAAGTTCGGAAAGGTTGAAGCGAATTACAAGGACATTCACAGGCTTCATTGCACAGGATACGCTGTGAGAGACGCGCGCTTTCTCGCCCGTCGGTATTTTCCTTACAAATGCTCTACGAAGTCATCATTTATGTGGTTTGGAATGCAGTGGACTTATATATTTAAAATATGAACCTCACTAACAGAAGGCTGCTTTCAATTTCAAATGCTGACGTGCGCTTTGTTTGTGAGACTGCTCGCGCATGCGGCTGTGCGACTCCGTGTAGTGGTTTAATGTACTTCTGCAAAATTAACGTAAACACAGCCAGTTATGTCTTAAGGGATTAAACGGACAGGACCCACCGCATTACTTCTTTTATTTAAAAAGAGATGCGTGCGTGAATGCAGCTTAATCTCCCGCAGTCTATGATGTCATAGTAAAAAACAACAGTAAAGATGAAGAAATATCACTCACAGTTCTTGAAGGGAAAACGTTCAGATAATCTATAGGCTACTGAAAGCACTTTTTGTTTGTTGTTTGTTATATTTTTCTATGCTCCTCTTTATTATTTGTTATATTAGTTTAAAATTCTTAACATACAACTGTTTTAATAAAAACAAATTAATTTGTAATTATTTTTAAAAAAGTACTTAATTACTTATGTAAACTAATGAATTAATAAGGGGGGGAAAGGTAGATAAAGAATCGTTCTGGAATCGGATCGTGACTCCCAGAATCGGAATCGGATCGTGAGGTGACCAAAGATTCCCACCCCTAATGCACAGATAAATCATTTATTATAAGCACTGCAACATTCTATTAAAAATAAGTATATTCCAAATACATTTTTGATTTCTTGGTGACTTTAAGACAGACCTTCATCCTTATATTTGATGGCGACTTCATCGCTGCTCTGTAGCTGCCCACGAAAGACTCGCTGCATCATCAGCAGGAGCTCATCGTAGGTGATGTCTTCATTGTGGATGGGGATACGACGAATATCATCCCCCAGCTGAGCTTTAATGATCAGCTTTCCACTCAGGTCCAGCTGGCCATTCATACTGCTGGAAAAACATTTTTTACTGTAAATACTGTATTTTAAATTTTTATATACATTTCAAAATATGGGTTTCACTGACCAATGCCATTAGCTAACGAGCACGGTATCCTATTTAATACAATCGCAATCAAAATTATATGAATCCACTGCAGAATAAATACAAATTGTCAAAATGGCCACTTATGCCAGCCAATATGACACTCTTACTATTACTGCACTATTAGCATTAGAAGCAGGCCATTTATCACTAATGCATCACATGCACATCTGATAGTACAACAACAACAAGCTGAAACGTAACACACTATAAGAGCTTCAGGAGAGCTCTGCCTACATTAAATGTTCGCATACAGACTTATATAGCTAATAGCCCAGAGTAAAACCTCTGGCACAATCTATGAAGACACAATCATTATATTCTTCTATCAGAAGCACATAATTCCACCCGCAACACAACAGTTAACTATGAAATGTGATAGTTGTAACTCAATGAGTGTCTTCACCCACCACTAACTTTCCTGCTTTTGTTATGGATATTAAAAACGTCAGGGAATCACTCGTGAATTACTCAAACCCATACTCTATGACTCATCTATGAGGTTTTATCTGAACAAGTGCTACTGTCCATTGCTGGGACATACTATAAGTTCATAAAAGTCTAAGGGTCATGAGATCTAAGATGATTTGGCACATGTAACGTTAGATGGCTCACAATCTTTCCCGGTACAGACTTTGGCCTCAGACAAAATGATAGGGAGACGCATTTTGGGTTTTATATCACAATACAAACGATTTGAGTGTGCGCGTTCAATCAAGAACGATCTCATCCGCACATTCTAACTCTGTAACATGAAGACAGACCTGTATTTGACTCATATGGAATTCAAAGACAACCACGATTAAAACTACCAATTCTTGCCCGCTGGATCAAGACAATGACAAAACCCAAGTGGGCAAACTGGCAATCAAATGCCGATTTACTTCTGTCTTACATTACTATTTTAACACGTTGTATGAATTTGTCATACATATCTAGGGTTTCTCTGATTGGACATGTTAAATAGGGCAGATGACAGTTTCCAATAACAACAGTCCATCAGCTATCTAAGCTAACTGAAGATCGTTTAGACGAGAAGATGATGTGGTTTTGGGGGTTTAGGACAACACCACACATAAGGACTTTTAAAAGTCAAGCAAAAGAAAGATTCATTTAAAACATCTCATCAGGCCTCATTCACCTGATGATGCAGCAACTTCCTGCCAAATAAAGGTCTGAGCGTGACAATTCTCCCGGCGTAAAAAAGGAATAATTACTGTTAACAAACCTCAAATAAGTTATTACAACAATCATTCCTGTGTTATAAATACTGCTATTTAACTATCCCATACTGTTTGTTAAAACACTGCCTATTATACAAAACGTCTCTGTTTTCTTTAGCTTGCCCTAGTTTCACACAGGCTAAGCTATGCTAATGCTAGTTAGCTTGATAACCGGCTAACTGCTAATGGTTATTATCCAGGTTATTTTGCCCTACAAACCTGTAAAGTTACCATATAAACGTATGTACATGTTTGTACGAGAAGCATTGAGTCTCTACCTGGTGGTTTGGACGTGTCAATCCCAGCAGCAGCCTGTGTGTCCTGGACTTCAGCTGAACGACGTCTGACTGACTGATGATCGGAAACGCCTCACAGCGACCTGTACGTGGCAAAACCACAAACGCGCATGCGCGCTACCCGGACACTTGTAAATTTAATAACTAGGCCTACTCATAGATATCTATAATAAAGGCCTACTGATGAGGTGGCCTATATGGCGTATGCATTTTGTTACTAAACCAAATTTTTTTTAAATACATTTAATATTACATTGATCATATAATTTACATAAAAAACTTACTGGAGTTTAACTGATTTATATTTAAAGCTGGCAGAAATAGATGCCTTATATGAGTCACATATTTGACTTTTATGATGTGATAGGCTATATGACTATATACTATGTTAGACCTTGTTAGATAAAAAACAAAATCAAGCTTAAAATGAAATCATCAGTATAAAATACAATACAAAGAAATATCCAAAGAAATATTTTATTTATAAAGTATTAGAAATTATGTGAATTGCTTTGTTTTCTTGGACATGGACCAGACCTCCTGAAGAAACAAATTTAAATTAAACAGAATTCTAGGTCTTGTGTAAATAAATGTAAGATTTGTTGGCTTGCAAATATACATATAACATTAAAAATAATTGCATGCATTGTAGCAACAAGACATCAAATGAGCATGGTCAAGTAAGTATACAATAGTGTTTTTATTTCTTCTTCTTCTCTTGTGTTGAGTTGAACCAGGCATCTAAAAGCTTCTTGCTGTAGTAGATTTGCCATGCGTGCACCTGAACAGCAATCACCATGAGTAGATACATCACAGAGACAGCCGAGAAGCCAAAGATAAACCGGTAGGCCTTCCCGTGTCGGTACAGCTGCTGGGCCAGTGGAAACATTTCCATTGCACCAAAAATCAAGGGTGCCACAGAAAACAAACCAGCACTGATCATGGAGATCACAAGGTAGCTGATGTTGTTCTTCGGCATGGCCAGGGCTCCAATAAACGAGGGCAGGAGACTCAAAAGGTAGGGATACTCCCACTGATAGGGCATGGCCACCAAGTCATGCGACACCAGATTGAGGTGACTAACAGCCACTTGAGCCGCCACCAGTATCCATATGAGGAAATGCACGAAGGTGAGCTTCTTTATCTCTGATTTCAATGAAGCACTGAAAGACATTTTCAAAATTAAAATACATATTCTGATGTAAACAATTTCATTGACAATGTTAGCCTATTGCTGTGACAGTTTGAAGGTTATAGTTACCTCATCTGATAGTGAGATGCCACTTTCTCTCTGTGTTTAAAATCACTCCCATCAGTCCCTGCAGCTCTTGGGCCAGCACGCGATGCCATTGCCAATTTCAAGATAACTGTAACACCATACAAATATGTTATTCACAGGCCTGACATATCAGTTTAGCAATTTGCGATTATTATAGACAGAGCATATTTGAATTGAAATAGAAATATCCCAAAATGCTGAAATTAATTATTCAGAATGTAATATAGCCTATATCAAGACACATCATAGCTACTGAAAAGGACAATATTGCATTACATTTAGGGGTCTGTATAGACATAGTCCTGTAATATCTCAACATCTGATCAATCTAACAGACAATTGGCATGAAAGCACCCCAGCACTTAAATGAAAGGAGGGAAAACCACATTAACCCAATAGCATATAAGCTATACTTTTATGAATTTCACATGATTAGGACATACATAAGCATACAAGATGAAGCATAACAAATATAGGCCTATGTCTATTTGGTACAGCAATTAAATAAAGGCATTAACTGTAGATGAACTGATATATTGAAGAATATATAGGCACATCTTGCCGGCCGGCTTCCGGATGAAGGATAAATTGACCGTTTCAACTGCGCGGATCACTGTAAATAGAAAGCGGTTATTTCATGTGATGCGACTTTTAACAAAATAACTTACCGTGTGGATTGGTGAAATGCGACCGAAAGCAACAGTGACAGGATTAGATGAGGAAATGTTCACACAAAGGATTTTTATCAATGAAGGCAATAATATGTTGCTCATGCGCACAAAAGAATCTCTCCGCCCCTCCGTGCGATGTGATTTGACAGCCCAGTATCACAGTCTGCGCATCCTCAGCATCATCACCGAGTATACTGAGCACACTGAGCCGGTTGCTTGGCTCATGAATATTTATTAGGTTCATTGAGGTCCATTCTGATTTATTAAAGAAAGAGGAAGTAACAGCTGGCTGCTACTATGCCGCTGGTCACGGTGTTGTTGTGTAATATTCAGTTCCTGTGAAAACCGGTTCCAGTGGGTGGAGTGTAGGCTGTAGCCTACATGAATAGCTATTCTTGATATTTCGGATATTTCCCGTGTTGTGGGCGTGGCCTTGAGACAACGCGCAAAACGAATTGAACTGAAAATGGGCTATATGCACGCATAACTTCCGCGTTTGACGCAAGGATGCTCTTGCGTTTCCGGTTGGGGAGATTTAAAGCGGAGGAAAACCGAGGAAAACGGGATTATGGAAGAGTCTTCAAAATTTACTGTCATCTCGTCTTTGAAACGAAACTTTAATACGTTTAGATGTAATTTTATATATAGTTATGTGTATTTAATATAATAAACAAAGAAGCATAAACAAAATGAGGGGTGTCTGTTTTGTCTGTTTTTGTGACTAACGTTTCTTTAGTATAGCAATAGATTATAAAAACCAATATAAATTCTCGGTATAGCATTGGACTCTACGATCGGCGGAAGTAATCCAGCATCCTTAGACCTTCACCGGAAATACCGCCGTGCATAGAGCCCATTATTAGTGCTCGCTCGTGCTCGCTCCTTAAATCGCAACTCGTTTAATGAATTATTTCGAAAAGGTAATAAAGATTATCTCTATATGGCTCTGCCTCTGGTCCAGGGGAGGTTATCATGGAACGTGAGCACGATAAAATTAATGTTCATGACTTTGAGCCAAGCTTCGCCATTACCATAATCGTTATTTAGCCTATCTTTTTAATTTATTTTTTAGGCACAAACATCGAATCATTTAGGCATTTCATTACCGTGAATACAGTTAGGCCTAGCCTAGCCCTACTACCTAAAATAATAATAATTTAATTTAGGATCTCCTTCACATCAAGAATATTTTATAATCCTTGTATTGAAACTCGGAGTCGGGACTAAGTAGTTGCTTTCTATAGAATACTGCGTTAATTATGGCTATAGATTGAATATCATTGACAATTAGGCTATCTGTGCCATTTTGGTGTAGCTGTTAAAATGTTTTTTAATAATCTTAACAATAAAAGAGCAGTATAGCATTTAGGCTCAATATTAATTGCAACAGATCACATTAGAACTATAATTTTTATAGTATGTATTTTCGTACAAATTGATACTAAATTTGATGCTTTAAATTTAAGATATTTTATTACATATTTTTCCCTTAGCCTACGGTATGGTTTGCAAATTCCCCACATGATCATAATTAGGTGATGGTTTTTAGAAGAGATATATTAATACATTTCTGGTACAGTAAACATACAATTATGAATGTAAATCATCTTTATTACAAAATTCAAAGAAAAAGTCACCAATAAGTAGGGAGGGGGAGTCATTGGATTAGACAATTTTAGCACCGTTGTTCAAAGTGACCAACATATAAAAACAAAGGTTATTACACAATCGATAGTCAAAAAAATTAAATAAAAGAGTAATATTTCAGGTGAAAATTCAATTCAGAGTTGGGTGGAAACAAGGGAATTGATTTGAAATATGATTTGTGATAGTGAGATTTAAATTATTGTGAGAAAAACTGTAATTTTTATGACAGTTCACTTTAGGAACAGAAGTGGTTTTCAGACAATTAGTATTTATAGTTTAAAAATAATCTTTTTTGGGGGAGGGGAATAAAATAAAATCTAGCACACATGCTCTCTCTCACTCACTCACACACACACACACACACACACACACACACACACACACACACACACACACACACACACACACACACACACACACACACACACACACACACACACACACACACACACACACAGACACACACACACACACACACACACACACACACACACACACACACTCACACAAACAAATTTGTAATTTGGTTGCAGTTCACACAGCGCATGTGTTACAATATTAGAAGTGTGCAAAAACTTTAACATTTTTTAAAATCATTGATAAAGAAAGACAAATATGATGTGATATTTTTGAAAAATTGAATGGCGTTTCTCATCTCATTTAAAGCAAATACATTATTTATCATGCAAATGTCACAATGACATTAAAAATAGTGTTCTGAACATTTTAAAGCATGTATACTCATGTTGGATACCATCAATTAAGCAAATACATAAATACATTACAAAAACAATCTTCTCAAAAAGCTGTTTAAATGTGGTGTTGAATTGAAGTTTCTTACTACAATCTGTGAGAGTCTTTGTGCAGGTTGTATCTTTATATACAATGTAATTTAACATTGCATATACTTATACAGTCTGTAGATTGATATTGTTGGGTTGAGTTTAAAAGGGCTGTCTCCGAGTCTTCTTTATTCCCTGTGAGATTGTACTTAAAAATACTGACATTTTTAAGTCAAACATTTTAATGTCAGTTCTTTCTTCCCTCTCTCTCCTTCAAATTCTCTCACTTATTCTTGCAATCTACATTGGGTACAGTAAAAAGCCAGAGAAGGAGGAATGGACATACTGTCCTGCATAAAATCCAGCTGCCTGGTCAGATGGTAATTGTAAATAAACTGTGTCTCCTGGTTGTAATGGAATCACAGCACTCCCAGATGCTTGATCCAGGAAACCCTTCTTGTACTCATCATATGTATACATAAGTGGCTCCCCGTTCCTGTAGAGCCCAACCCATACATTGGCACCCTTGCAGTGCACATGATAGGCGAAGTAGTAGATGCCTCGGAGGTCACAGGTGAACACACCGGTCTGAGGGTTGTAATTCTGACGCCCATTATACAGTAGTTTGTCAAGCACTATTGGAGTGCCAACTGGAGGGAATGGTGTGGTCAGCTGGGCAGTGAAAGCAGGCATCTCCAGACCATTGGCACCCATCATGTCACCCCCATACTTCCCTTTCTTGTATCCACCAGTTTTCATACCATCAAGGGCAGGGCCCATCTCAGGAAGAACACCCATCAGGTCAGGGGAAGGAGGGGGGCCTGGGGGTCCAGGAGGTCCCGGTGGACCTGGCCTTCCTGGCTGACCTGGGTTTCCATTTTGGCCAGGTGGACCTGCAGGACCAAGAGGACCAGGGATTCCGGGGCTGCCTTCACCGGGTGGACCAGCTTGACCTGATGGACCAACTTCTCCCTTCGCCCCGGGTGGTCCAGGAGGCCCAATTAGTCCTCCAGGCCCTGCAAGACCTGGAATGCCTTTAGGACCCTGTGGTCCTTCTGGGCCAGGCTGACCAAGTTCTCCTTTAAGACCAGGTAGGCCAGATGTACCTGGGGAACCAGGTAGACCATTGCTTCCTGTTTCTCCTTTGGGACCCATGGGTCCTGGTGGTCCTCTTGCCCCATGTTCTCCATCTTCACCTTGGAGGCCCGGTTGACCAGGAAATCCTGGAGGACCTGGTTGCCCCATAGGCCCCGGATCTCCCTTGGCTCCTTCTAAACCTCCCTCTCCTTTTAGCCCTGGGGAACCAATTCCACCTGGTGCCCCCATTGGTCCAGGAGGGCCTGTAGGACCAGTTTGACCAGGTGGTCCAGTCATGCCAGGTTGACCACCATAACCTTTGTCTCCTTTTGGTCCTTGAGCACCAGGAAGCCCTCCCACCCCTTTATCACCCTTTGGGCCAGGGTATCCAGGTTTGCCAAATCCAGGTAATCCAGGTTTCCCAGGTAACCCTGGTGGTCCTTGTAATCCTTTGTGTCCAGGTGCCCCTGGCTGGCCTGGTAATCCACTTTCTCCTGGACTTCCAATACCAGGGGACCCTTGTGGTCCTTGTGGGCCCAGTCCACCAGGTGGACCCTCTGGACCTAGCTCTCCAGGCTGTCCAGGTTTCCCTGGCACACCAGGTGGACCTGGTACACCAGGAAGACCAGGCTTACCCACACCTGGTAATCCCGCCTTCCCTGGGAGCCCAGGTGGCCCAGCTGGCCCTTTGGGCCCTAGTGGGCCTGGTTGTCCAATTCCTCTGTCTCCTTTAGGCCCAGGTAACCCTGGGAGACCAGGGAAACCTTTATGTCCTGGATCTCCTTTACCCCCTGGCTGTCCTGGTAATCCTTGTCCACCAGGCTTTCCTATTCCTGGCAGGCCTGGGGGTCCAGGAGGGCCGTGTGGCCCAGTCATGCCTGGTTGTCCCTCTTCACCTCTGGGTCCCTGTTCACCTCGCTCTCCAGGCTGCCCAATACCTCCTGGCTTCCCGGGCATACCTGGCATTCCTGGCTTACCAACTCCAGGGAATCCTGGAGGACCAGGAGGTCCTGACCTTCCAGGAGGGCCTAGCATTCCATTACCTTGAGGCCCAGAAGGTCCTTGGGGCCCAGGTGGACCAGGGGGCCCTTGAGGTCCAGTCTCTCCCTGAACACCTTGCTCACCTCTGGGAATGGTCTCACCTTTGTAAAGGAAAAGCAGGGATGGGATTAGGTAACAATGACCATAAGAAGGTATGTCAGCATAAGTAACAAAAAAAAACAAAAAATAAATTAACCACATTTAAAAAAATAAATTAACCAGTGAATAAAGGGACTTCATAAGTAATGTAAAATGTATATTATATACTGTATCAACTAATTATGATCACTACAAACCCTGTTGTTTAAATTGAAATAAGAACAAACAAACAATAATAATGTATACCATGTATACCATATACAATGTGACCACAAGTTCTAAGATAAACAAGTGTTCATACCTTTGGTATCTTTGCCTTTGTTTAGGTGCATTGGTAGGTCTTTTCTGTAGTGTGGATATGGCATGTGTGGCATATCCTTTCCCATGCCCATATGAGGCATCTGTGGTAAGGGTTGGTGCTGTTGAGGATGTGGCTTGTGTCCATAATATGCACCCCCAAAAACTGATGGCAGTAGAGCCAATTCCACGAAAACT